TCCATACCTAGTGTATCCACAGCAGATCCTTCTCCATACCTAGTGTATCCACAGTGAATCCTTCTCCATACCTAGTGTATCCACAGTGAATCCTTCTCCATACCTGGTGTATCCACAGTGAATCCTTCTCCATACCTAGTGTATCCACAGCAGATCCTTCTCCATACCTGGTGTATCCACAGTGAATCCTTCTTCATACCTAGTGTATCCACAGTGAATCCTTCTCCATACCTGGTGTATCCACAGTGAATCCTTCTCCATACCTAGTGTATCCACAGTGAATCCTTCTCCATACCTAGTGTATCCACAGTGAATCCTTCTCCATACCTAGTGTATCCACAGCAGATCCTTCTTCATACCTAGTGTATCCACAGTGAATCCTTCTCCATACCTAGTGTATCCACAGTGAATCCTTCTCCATACCTAGTGTATCCACAGCAGATCCTCCTTCATACCTAGTGTATCCACAGCAGATCCTTCTTCATACCTAGTGTATCCACAGTGAATCCTTCTCCATACCTGGTGTATCCACAGCAGATCCTCCTTCATACCTGGTGTATCCACAGTGAATCCTTCTTCATACCTAGTGTATCCACAGTGAATCCTTCTCCATACCTGGTGTATCCACAGTGAATCCTTCTCCATACCTGGTGTATCCACAGCAGATCCTTCTTCATACCTGGTGTATCCACAGTGAATCCTTCTTCATACCTAGTGTATCCACAGTGAATCCTTCTCCATACCTGGTGTATCCACAGCAGATCCTTCTTCATACCTGGTGTATCCACAGTGGATCCTTCTTCATACCTGGTGTATCCACAGTGGGTCCTCCTTCATACCTGGTGTATCCACAGTGGGTCCTCCTTCATACCTAGTGTATCCACAGCAGATCCTTCTCCATACCTGGTGTATCCACAGTGGGTCCTCCTTCATACCTGGTGTATCCACAGTGGGTCCTCCTTCATACCTGGTGTATCCACAGTGAATCCTTCTCCATACCTAGTGTATCCACAGTGAATCCTTCTCCATACCTAGTGTATCCACAGCAGATCCTTCTTCATACCTAGTGTATCCACAGTGAATCCTTCTCCATACCTAGTGTATCCACAGTGAATCCTTCTCCATACCTAGTGTATCCACAGCAGATCCTCCTTCATACCTAGTGTATCCACAGCAGATCCTTCTTCATACCTAGTGTATCCACAGTGAATCCTTCTCCATACCTGGTGTATCCACAGCAGATCCTCCTTCATACCTGGTGTATCCACAGTGAATCCTTCTTCATACCTAGTGTATCCACAGTGAATCCTTCTCCATACCTGGTGTATCCACAGTGAATCCTTCTCCATACCTGGTGTATCCACAGCAGATCCTTCTTCATACCTGGTGTATCCACAGTGAATCCTTCTTCATACCTAGTGTATCCACAGTGAATCCTTCTCCATACCTGGTGTATCCACAGCAGATCCTTCTTCATACCTGGTGTATCCACAGTGGATCCTTCTTCATACCTGGTGTATCCACAGTGAATCCTTCTTCATACCTGGTGTATCCACAGCAGATCCTTCTTCATACCTGGTGTATCCACAGTGAATCCTTCTTCATACCTAGTGTATCCAGTGAATCCTTCTCCATACCTGGTGTATCCACAGCAGATCCTTCTTCATACCTGGTGTATCCACAGTGGATCCTTCTTCATACCTGGTGTATCCACAGCAGATCCTTCTTCATACCTAGTGTATCCACAGCAGATCCTCCTTCATACCTAGTGTATCCACAGCAGATCCTCCTTCATACCTAGTGTATCCACAGTGAATCCTTCTCCATACCTAGTGTATCCACAGCAGATCCTTCTTCATACCTGGTGTATCCACAAGAGATCCTCCTTCATACCTAGTGTATCCACAGCAGATCCTTCTTCATACCTGGTGTATCCACAGTGGATCCTCCTTCATACCTAGTGTATCCACAGCAGATCCTTCTTCATACCTGGTGTATCCACAGCAGATCCTCCTTCATACCTAGTGTATCCACAGTGAATCCTTCTCCATACCTAGTGTATCCACAGCAGATCCTCCTTCATACCTAGTGTATCCACAGTGAATCCTTCTTCATACCTGATGCATCCACAGCAGATCCTCCTTCATACCTGGTGTATCCTCCTTCATACTTGGTGTATCCACAGCAGATCCTTCTTCATACCTTGTGTTTACACAATGGACCTTTCCAGGATTCCTACGAAGCATCAAGGTTGAGTGTTTTTTCAGCCTAAGATTGTTGCATTGAAACAGTATTTAGACACTGCTATGATTTTTACCTTTCATACATGACTTTGAACTTTGATACATGACCTTGACGATCAGCTTCCTGACAAGCACAAACCAACATGGGTTAGGAGTGTTGGTAGGCCACGCTCTACTGACTTTACCTAAGGTTTGGTAGGCCACGCTCTACTGACTTTACCTGAGGTTTGGTAGGCCACGCTCTACTGACTTTACCTGAGGTTTGGTAGGCCACACTTTACTGACTTTACCTGAGGTTTGGTAGGCCATGCTCTACTGACTTCACCTGAGGTTTGGTAGGCCATGCTCTACTGAATTTACCTGATGTTTGTTAGGCCACACTCTACTGAATTTACCTGATGTTTGTTAGGCCACGCTCTACTGACTTTACCTGAGGTTTGGTAGGCCACACTCTACTGACTTTACCTGAGGTTTGGTAGGCCATGCTCTACTGAATTTACCTGATGTTTGTTAGGCCATGCTCTACTGACTTCACCTGAGGTTTGGTAGGCCATGCTCTACTGAATTTACCTGATGTTTGGTAGGCCATGCTCTACTGAATTTACCTGATGTTTGTTAGGCCATGCTCTACTGACTTCACCTGAGGTTTGGTAGGCCACACTCTACTGACTTTACCTGAGGTTTGGTAGGCCACGCTCTACTGACTTCACCTGAGGTTTGGTAGGCCACACTCTACTGACTTTACCTGAGGTTTGGTAGGCCACGCTCTACTGACTTCACCTGAGGTTTGGTAGGCCACGCTCTACTGACTTTACCTGAGGTTTGGTAGGCCATGCTCTACTGACTTCACCTGATGTTTGTTAGGCCACACTCTACTGACTTTACCTGAGGTTTGGTAGGCCATGCTCTACTGACTTCACCTGATGTTTGTTAGGCCACACTCTACTGACTAAGGTATCAGAGCCCTTCATATCATGTGTGTTGAATTGTTGATGAAAGAAATAGAAATGCTAAATATTTTGCAAATATTAATCATGTCTTTACTCATTTGTACATAAATTAAAACTAAACAATGTAAGGTTGCTACATTGATCTAAGAAAAACAATAAAACAATGCTTATCAAAACACTTGTTTTAGTCTCCAAGTATCATCTGGATACATCAGTGTAAACTTCTCTAATCTCATCATCTTTGTTGGTCAAAATAAATGACCTACAGAGGCAGTTCAGAAAGCACTGTCGTAATCTTTGACCAAAGTGACACTATTTCTGTGTAAATGGGATAAACACTTTGGAACATGATTTTTTCCGCCATACACATGCATTAGTATAATTCTCTTGTAGGTAGTACAAACTTGAAAGTAATAGTGTAACATACCAGGTATTTCTGCTGTTTAAACAAAAAGATGCTTCCCTGTATGTAATATAAAAGGAACTTATATTACATAAACATTATTTCCATAACATGCATACAAACATCCACAATTCTAACATCATTTGATGTAAAAAAGGTGAAGAAGGTTCACCAAAAGCCCACAAGTCCATATCATTAAAGTTATACACAGCATTTTACCTAAGTGTCCTTAAAATTTTGTAAGAGAATAAGACCAGGTGTTCCTGAAAGAAACAACATCCACAGCGTAAATCTCTCATCGCTGAAAATCTGCAGTTTAATTCATATGCTGTGTCAGAAATTGTAGTTTTACAAACAAGCATATCATTTACTGAGACAGAAAATGTGCCTTCAACCATGCTTGAAAACTTGCAAACCATTAAAATTGTGGTATATTTACTATACAATGCACTGTGTACAGTCCATGACTTTATGAATTTTTTTTTCAAGTCTGGAAACAGAAGGAATGTATCAGTTTTGTCATTAGATTGTAACTGTGCTTCAGTCATTAGCTGAAATAACTTCCATAAAAGTTCCACCACAAACAAAAATCCTAAACCAATAACATGATTTTTTTTGGTAATACAATTGCAACTTTGGTGGAAAAATCTGTATTTGTTATAACTACCTAAACACTCCAGTTTGTATCAATATAAATATCTCTCCCACCCCCCACAGCCCCCCCCCCTCCTACTCACAACCCCCTCCACCTCACATACTCATCTTTTTCTCCTTATCTCAATCTATTGAAGGATCAAGTATAATGGGGTTCAAGAGATATCTTTTAAACAATCTTTTTATTTTAAAAGTGGTCAAAGGTTACATTTTAATACATTTAACAATGACCACTGAAATCTAATCAGACCTTGGTGTTCTTTTGATACTTTGTATACTTTGTAACATTTAGTTTAGAATACAGAAGAACATGCTCTATTGATACTTTGTATACTTTGTAACATTTAGTTTAGAATACAGAAGAACATGCTCTATTGATACTTTGTATACTTTGTAACATTTAGTTTAGAATACAAAAGAACATGAACATTAATGATATAACTTAAAGTATAAAGATTTTGACAATTTGAACTTTCTCATCCTAAAATACAATTTCAGAAACCAAAAGTTCTCCCCAACTTTGAAACACACAATAACAAAGTACAAAAATGGAATAGCCTTGACCCCTGTGACCTTGAAAAAACAAACACTCACGCACAATATTAATCACGTTAAAAACCAAACAGGTGATTTATAAAGTTAATGAGAAGAAGTTGTTTAAAATAATCTAAGTCAAACAGGACACTTATCAATAAACGAAACTCCCACATGTGATTAAAAAGTTATCTGTCAAAAATGCAAATTCAGTGACACTTCATTGTATTGTAGAGTGAAAGACAGACGAGGGAAGAAAAGATAGACATATATAGAAATAAACCTGAGATCAACCTTTTGATTCACCATATCAAGAAATTCTTCTGTAGGGTAGTTGTAGTCCTAAAACTACTTCCCTAACTCAGAGTTTTGGTTTAGTGTTTGATGGATCAGCCTTTCATTGTTACCGTGAAACGATGTAATTTTTCCGAAACTCTCCAAAATGGTCCTCCCTGAAATGCCGTCATAGCTATGAAGGTCTGATAAACATGTGGATTTCTCACTGCTGTTTGCATTCATTGTCTGAAAATGGTTTCTTTGGATAATTTGTGTATGGTCTACGTTTACTTTCTGAAAGTAGTCTGTCATCATATCGAGAGAATTCTGTTGGATCAGGGGTTGTGGTTGGAACTTTTACATCAGGAACTTTGATTGTACTCATATCAATTTCTCTACTGCCCAACTTTACGATATGTTTTTTCTTTAACTCGTCATACTCTTTCTGGATTCTCTGCTTCTCCTCACTGCAATGTAAAACAATGTCATCATTGTATACTTCATATATTAATTTCAATTTTATCCGTAATGTCCCTATGTAAATTAACAAGAAAAATTATTTATTTAAGATATAACAAGATAATGCAACGTGTGAATTTATCCCCTGGGCACCCCTGTTTAAAAGAAAGACACAATCATATATATACTGAAACGAATAAGAAACGCAACTTCAAATTGTAGGTTTAATAAAATAATACTTGTAAGCATTATGTCTAAATTTCATATGTAAAAGTTAATATTGAATATTGATGTAACATCCTCTAAATGTTTGGAGATTTTTAAGAAAAGGTCACTTCACTAGAAGGTCATGATTGGCAGTACCCTACGTTAATCCAAGTTGAAATGGCAGCAGTTTTGAAACCGTGCCCTAATATTGTGTGTGTCCTCCTCGAACAGCTATAGCATCTCTAATTCTTCGTTGCATCGAGTTCATCAGGGCATTGACTGTCTGTATTGGAATGTTATTCCATTCTTGGACGAGTGCATTTGCTAACTGGGGGAGGGTATTTGGGGGGTTACGGCGATTGCGAATTCTTCTGTCTAGTTCATGCCACAAATGCTCGATTGGGGACAAATCGGGGCTATATGGAGGCCAATCTATAGGAACAATTTCTGTGTCGCAAGAAAGTCTCTACAGACTCTTGCAACGTGTGGTCTCGCGTTATCTTGCTGCAAGGTTAGATGATGCTGCCTAACAAACGGCACAACATGGGGCCTAAGGATCTCATCCCGATAGGGTACGGCCATTAAATTCCCATTGACTATCACCAAAGGTGTCTTCAAACCATGGGAGATTCCCGCCCAAACCATAACTGGTCCACCCCCAAATCGGTTATGCTCCAAAACACAGGCGTCAGCAAAACGTTCGCCTCGACGCCGGTACACACGTTGACGGCCATCTGCTCGAAATAACGTGAATCGAGATTCATCGGTGAAGAACATGGACCTCCAACGTCTCATAGGAAAACGTCTGGGCATATGTGCCGTCAACCATTGCATACGACGTGCTCGCGTTGCGGTGTTAGTGGTAAACCAACGTACTGTCGCCTTGCATTCAAATTAGGCTCATGCAGTCTGTTGATCACTGTTTGGGGATGAATCCGATGGTTATGATTACCAATCGTATTCCTTGCCGTTTCAGCAGCCGTTAACCTCCTGTTACGCAAGTGTGCCAGCCTAACAACCCAGTCTTGACGTCGCGACATTACGCGTGGACGTCCTGATCTCGGCCGGTCATCGACTCTTCCTGTGGCGTTAAGACGTGAAGCTAATCGACTAATAGTCGATTTGTGAACTCTGAAGTGTCGAGCGATGTGAAGTTGCATGCTCCCTGCCATAAGCATCACGATAGCACGTCCTCTATCAACCTGTGACAACCATGGCATAATTGTAAAAGGAATTATTGTTTGCAAAACTATTGGCGATGATGTGTCTCGATGTTAGTGATAAATTGATACTGGTTTGAATGAAAAAGAACGCATATGTTTGTACAGGCACGGTTTTTTATGTTTTTACCGCGTCGGATGTGCATAGGTTTCTCGTCACACCTGGTTGATTTTGAACATTGGATAGGGTGATAGGCAGGGTGCACTTTTATTTATTTAATACAAAATTAATAACAATTTTCCAAGTTGCGTTTTTTTTTTCATTTCAGTATATATCTTATTAATACACAAAGTATAATTTCTATCTGCTATTTCTAATTGTTCCATACAGAGCACTGAAATGGAGAACATCTACTAGAGTACTAGCTTGATACCTGTACAAAGTTTTGAATAAAGGGTATTTACCTTGAAAAGTTTAAGAGAGCTGGTCGGAAAAAACTGACCTTTGTGATTTGGACTATCTGTTTCCATGGTAACAGAAGTATTCAAATGGAGATCTTCCCAATACAAAAGATACTACTAGCTTAATAAGTGTAAAAAAAAGATTTTGGCAATTATCTTTAATGGTTTCAGAACACAGGTCCAGAGTGATGAGGGTAATCTGTATCCATGGTAACAGCAAAAAAAACAAAAAGAATTAAGTGGGGCACTAACCTGATATATAGAAAGTTTTGTGGATTTCAGTGAAGTTGTAGCCCAGAAATGAAAGTTAACATTAATTTTGTGTTTTTTGGCTATGTTTCCATGGAAGCACAAAAATCATAAAAAATGAAAAGTCGTCAATAGTAAAAGGAACAAATAGAGCCTAGTAAATGCCATACAAACACAACCATCAGGATGTCAGTATCGCAACCAACAGTTCGCCAATGAAATGGCTTAATGAATTACACTCTTGATGATTCATTCACTTTAACTTAAACCAAGATATAATCAGCATAACACAACAAAATAAGCCTGGAATATTAGCACTGAAGTGTCTTGTTATGGCATTTATGGTTGTTATGAATGCCAAAGTTTTCCAATTAAATGTACCATTTATTTGCCTGCCTTGCATTTATACTATTGATAAATGTCATAACAATGCAGTTCAAAGCTTAAGTATTGTACATAAAAAAGTAATTGTATGCTCATCAATTCACCAAACCCAAGAAATTCAATTGTTTTTTCTTTTAATATTTTGTGGTGAATATTTGCTATGCTTTGAAATGTTAAATCCTGTTTTGTAAAACTGTCCCATGTCCTGCATGTACAGATATGTATCGATCCAGAGACCAATAATTTTTATGAATCACGCTGTCTCGAGTCAAACTTACAATGACAAGGCCATATCACTCTGACCAAACAAGCAAAGGTCCAAAGTCATGTGGTTATGTAATGGAATAAAACAGTCAAGTAATTATGTAATTTGGTGTTGTAAAACAGATGTCAAGTATAGAACCACATGGTGATAGCCATGAGGTCAGATTAATCACAATATCAGAAGGTTCAGGGATAAGATATAGCAGAAGATAGAAGGATCAAACCAGGGAGGAAGTGATTAACACAGGTGGCAGGGTAGAACAGGTCAACAAGGCCAGGATGTAGAAATGTAGGTTAGTCAGACATTAATTTGGCTTCTTGTTGCAGGACAAATAAAATCAGCAAAATGCTGTAGTTCTGAAAGAAGTCTGTGATCAATTAAAAGGCTGATCATTTTTATCTTTAGGCTAGCTTCGACAAGACCTTAGAAAAGTCAATGGATCAAATTGGTATCAGAAAATACAGAAGTTGTAATAGACAAGAAATACAAAAAACTCTAGAATCAGACGAGATTCCAGAGGGATCTTGGCACCAACCACTGTTTGATTTTTATTTGCTTTTTAAAAGTTGGATCTTTTCCCTTCTTTTCTCTTCCTTCCTGTTTTTGATCTTAATTATACAAAATTTAAACATTCCTTTGCAAAAAAGGGAATAATAATCTTTAACTGCCAATTCAAAGATGGTCACCAACAAACGACGGACCAGGACCATTGATTTGGACTATTTAAATAGCACACTATCTGAGGGTTGGCTAAAAAGAGAAGACTAAATTAACAGATCCTTTTTAACTTACCTCTGCTGTTCAAATCTAGCTTTGAGTTCCTGGAAGGGACAGCTACAAGGTTTGGTGACAGGGTTGTCCTCTAGAGTCTTCACCTTCTTTTTCAGCTTGTTAACCTCCCTCTCCAGTCGCACGTTCTTTGCCTCTAACATATAGGCATTGTAGTGATCCACCGCACCCCCGGGAACATTCTCCTTTGATGTAGAGTTTTCCCCCTTTTGGCCCTTGGACGATGGTTCCAAATCTGCAACATAAAAACACCGAATGACTGCAGTCTGTTTGGTAACAGTTTATATGGGTATTTTCACTGTCATCATTGTAAGCTCTTGGTCTTAGAGGCTGACATTGAATCTGGGTGTTGTTGTTAGCTTCCACACAAAGAAGCTGTTAACTGCACAATAGACTAAATTCCTGTAAATCAAAAACCAAACTAGAACTGTTGTCCAGAGGATAACTTATACCTCCGCAGATGAACACTTTCTATATTGATTACTGTGAACACACAGGTCATCATAAATATTTCATGTCCTGTAATTTATGAATTTATATATATAAGTATGAAAAAACAAGAAATCAGCTGAACCTTTCATCAACTATATGAAAGGACACTAATTAGAGCACATTCAGCAGAGATAATTGAAAACACTGCTGGAAAACACACTTTCAAAAAACCACCAAAAATATTAGCTTTTAGTTAACCAAGGCAAAATTCTATATACTACAATAAATGATACCTTCAAAAGTGGTGTGAACCAAATCTGAAGTCAACTAGTTTCTTGGTAGACAGCTATTTCTCATAATGCACACAGAAGACCATGTGCATACTTTGTATTTATTGAACTGAACAGAGGTAGTATACTATTTAAAAATGGTAGCCTTGACCAACCCCTTACCAATGACATTCATGTAAGTCTACTTTCTTGTCTATAGTGTCAGCATGTTAGAGAGATATTCCAGACCCGGATTTTGTTAGATGTCATTTTATACAAATTATACACAAGAATTTATTTATGATGTTATGGAAATAGTACACCTCAATCCAATATAAAAAATAACTTATAATATTTAATATGTAGAAATTCTATATCAATTTGTAAGCTTGATTTAAAAACATCACATTTGCACCTGTAAATGCACAAAGTGGCAACTCCTTGGCTTCAGTCCTTATATGTAGTTACAAGTATTGCCTTTCAGTATTTATCTGTAGCATATATCAGTAGTATATGTGTTCTAGATATATTAATAGAAAAAAATTAGCTTTTTTCCAGTTCAGCTTCTAGTTTTGTTTTAAATATCATCATGTGCTGAGTGTGCGATGTTTAAGTGAGTTTAATGGCTTGCTTGATATATGGGAGAATCCTTTTATTACACTTTCATCACAGATATATCAGAAATTATGTATTTGATAAAAAAATTTTAATCTCTGTGCAAGAAATTGTATATTATCTTTGATTTCACAATCTCATTAAACACTTTTTGTTGTACAACTCATTTACTTTATACATTGCATTTTCAATCAAATTCAACATTTTTTAAGCAATTCTTAGTAGAAAACAGAAAAATGTTGTTTATGGTGACCAATGGAAAATGGGGATGTCCTCACTTCTGTTGTCAAGTGGAACCCTGTAACTGAACATATCTATTCCACGGTTTGAAGACCAGACTGGAGTCAATAGGAAAAATGAAGCTGGTGAAAGCAAATTATAACTTGCTTTCTCTACAAAGGAAGAATCATCAATTGATCCTTTGTACTACATACATGATGTTTCTGCATCCCTCCGTCTGACTTCAACTTGTAATTTCTTGATTCTGTTGTCCTTCATCTCTATGGTTTCCTCGTATTGCTGGATCCTGTAATACAGTAGAATCAGACACTGAAAAGTTACCAATTTCTTTTATACAAGTTTCATTCATTCATTTTCTGATTTCAAAGTTTTATTTGTTATGGGCACCAGCATAAAAATCCTCCAAACCAACCCTTAAATCCAATCAAACTTGGATAACGTTTAAATTTAAACAAATCAGAGGAAAGGTATAGGCAGTGATTTGTCACATCATAAAAAGTTGTGGTAGTGTTAGTAAAGTTTTGACAGATTACAGGCCAGGAAATTGTGATCATTTTGTCCAATTAGGAAAAAGGGAATCTGCATAAATGTTCACAATATCATTATATCTTTACATACCAATTTTGAACAAAATTGGTTAATATCTAAATTTTCCCCAATCAGAGGCAGGCAGCTGACTGTTCTGATGACTTCCATAACGTATCAATGTCTTTGGTGGAAGTTCCACCAATTTACTTTCTGGCTGATTCAGTAATTAATTAACTGTCGCTATGGGCACTATTAAAAAAACTGAATATCTTCTGCAGGTTTAGAAGCTTTTGTAAGAGAATGAGTCGTTCATGGATTACAAGGGGATCATTACATATCTAATTATAGAAAATGAGGATATCACATAACCTCTTTTATAACTGTATGGATAAATAGAGTTTTCCTAAGATCTTAAAAAAATACATACAATTTTTGTTTTTCTGCTTCAAATTTCTCAATAGTTCTATTCTGAGAGAAGATTTTCATCTTTTTCTCTCCAATCTCTTCCCATCGCTTGGCAGCTGTTTGTTGCATTTCTGTCAGCTTTTCTGGAATAAGAACCAAACACAAACTTACACACAACTCATACTTCCAATAGAACAAACCTATTCCAATTAAACATTGCTGGATATTTCACAGATAATTCTGTACTAATCTTAAATATGATATTTCATCATGCACCTCCACTTCATACTCAGAGGGTGTGCTTCTTACAAGTTACAGTACTATGACATTTGCTGGTGAGTCTACAAAACAGCTACATACACGGGTGGGCTTATTACCAGACAGATAAGTGTGTATGGTATCAGAGAAGAGGTTTTTCTCTACCCATCATTACACGTGATTAGAAACATGCTACTGCAACAGCAATCCATCCATATACATAAGCATACACTTACTCTCTTTTTCGAGAACTTGTGACCTCATGTTATCTATGTCTGTCTGTGTTTTGCTGACTGAAGACTCCAGCTCCTCTATTCTCGTCTGTTGTTTGTTGAACAGATCATAATATTTGTCTGCATCTGCCTCAGCTGCCTTCAATTTCTTCCCCATTTCTGATTCATCCACAGCTTTCTGTTGTTGCTACAAAAGTTGAGGTAAATCAAGCTTCAGTCAAACTTAAATCTCTTCCTGCCAGTAAAACATCTTTCTCTACCCTAGAACTCCCATTTTTTCTAAAGGTACAACCCATAAAATTCAATTAATAAAAATGTACTTAGAAGCAACAGGTGGAAAACCTAATCCTGGAAAGAAGTGATTTATTTTGTAGTCAAGTCGGTCATACACTGGATGTAGCCCTTGTCTGAGTACTTGTTCTTTTTATTTAAACTCAGATGAAAGAAAATAGAATTTTCACAACATCTATGCCATGCTGTCATATATCAGGGATGTCCTTATATATCATATACAGTATATTTTTCTTATTCATTGTACACCTTACTTCTATTAAGTAAATAAGTACAAGATTCATCATTAACTTCAAACACAGCCTAATATCCACGTTGTGTGACTATTATTACCAATATGATGTTTATGACATGGCTGTGTCGCTTCCTTAGTAATAGATAAATCTGTTTCAGCCAATCTGCCTCATCAAGAAACACCTCTGCCCTAACTGGTCAACACATGATCATGACCTACCTTTTCCAGATCATTACAATAGGAAATGAGCATCTTTTTGTCCTCTTTCATTTTGTTAACTTCGGACACCAGACGGGAATACTGAAGCAAAATTTGAGAAAATGAAGTAAAAATCCAACTAGTACTCGATGAGGTTTTGATAAAAATATCTGCCTTTAGCTCTTACAGTTTATGTAATTTAGAGTAAAAAAGCAGAGTAAGAAACTTCTGTTGTTTACTGGTACGAAAGTTAAGCTCAACTGAGAGACCAAGCAAGATTCTCGTTTTAAACATTACTCAGGATCCCATCCGTATTACCATCCCCAAGGAACATGAATAATTTACATCAGTTTACACACTATTTAATGATTGCAGTACAATAAAAAGTACAACATAGTTACTATTTGAAAATTTTACGAACTAATCCCAATTTTACCTTTACTCTCTCTATCTTCAAGACATCAATTTTCTTCAACAACTCCATTTTCTCTTCCTGGAACAATGAAAACAGCAATAAAAGCTACTTGTATTATAGACTATTCAACGAGTGTTAGAATTAGATTAGGAGGATATTATTTGATGAATAACATACATTTCATTGAGTTAGTGGAAATGTTGAATTTTTAAAATTTAAGTCAGTTTGATACCTTTTGCAGCGGGGTCAGCCAGGATCAATATATGCATGCCCTCATGCAGTCGTCCTTTGCTTATAATTGTAACCAAGTTTGAAATATTTCCAGTGGAAATTAAACAAAATATGCTAAAAATGTACTTATACTATGTAATCTATAGTAAACTACTCCCTCTCCAGGGGGAAATGTGAAACTCTGGGGTCATAAAATTCACAATGTTGGTAAAGCATCTTAGAGAGCTTCCATCCATGAAGAGCATTTCATTCTACAAATCTGGGGTGTTGAGAAGAAGATTTTTAAAATTTGAGCCAATTTCACTGCGTTTGGCATTGCCTCTCAGGCCCCTTGGGGTGGGGACTGTATAATTCTTGAGTCTGGTTCATCATCTGTGGTTAGTGTAGGCTTCTAAAAAAATTTCAATAAAATTAGTTCTGCGGTTTTTGAGAAGAAGTCGAAAATGATAGAAGTTTATGTACATGTGACGCCTGACAAAGAAGATCGCTAAAGATCACCGTTAGACTTTGTCTCAGATGATCTCAAATATCATGAAAATCAGCTAACCTTGATACAAATATTTCATAAAACTATAAAAAAAATTGGAAACATAATTTATGGGAGACCTCTTTTTGTTGATTCCACGGGATCTCTTAATCCACAAAATCTTGTGACCACAAACCATTAGTAGACATGAGTCCATGAAATGGCATTTTTTTGAAAGACCACAACATTGAGATCCATGAAAATAGATGATTTTACAATAACAGTTCAATAAAACCTGATCAGTTTTATATATCATTATGCAGAATCCAGTTATAAAGAGTACTAATGTTCATATTGATCTGAAAGTTTGTATTCAATAATATGGAAATCTGTTTAATTTTCATGGTAGCAGAAAATAACTTACAGCCCATGGTGTAGAGGAGTTGAGAAGGTTGGACATGCTGTGCTGTGAAGGCTCCAACTGGTCCTTCAGTGTAGAGATTTCTGATCTAAGCTGGTCTAATTCTTTGTTCTTGGCACACAGCTCATCTTCACATTCTTGTTTTTGTATCTCAACTGAAGACAAGTCAGTAACTTGCAATTTTAAATCTTCAATCTGGGATTGCATAGCTTCAGGACTGTCATAATGACTAAGTGTTTGTTTCAGTGACTTAAGTTCACTACTCAGCTGAGATCGTTCTTCCTGAAGTTGGGCCACCTCGTTCTGGTACTCAATAATTTCCTCGTTCATATGGCTTTTCTTTTAAAAAAAAAGGTGGTGTCAGTCTGGTTGTGACATACAACAGTGCAACACAATAAAGCAAAAATTTCCTGCCATTTGTTTTTGGTCATGTATATTACACAGTGCTACCTCTGGTGTTTATGTTTACAGTATTAACCTGTAACATATATGGTTGTATTAACATTGTAAAGCATTTACTGGTAGTATTACTATTTCTCACATAATCTGCCCGTTATCCAGAGAATTGGCAAACATAATATTTCAGTCACTTAACTATGTCACTGGTGTAATATACCCTAGATTGTTTTTATTGGCTTTGCCCATCAGAAATGATTCTGACATAATTTACACAATGATGTTACAGAAAGAATTGAAAAAGGTGCAACAAAATGACTGCCTCCATTTGATTTTATCATCACATTAAATGACTGCCTCCATTTGATTTGGTAATGGCACAAAAACCATGGCTAGTAACCAAATCAAACTATTCCATTTTTACTTTCAATGAAAATTTTTCAAACACATGTACATGATCCCTTTGTAAGGCCATTACACTCCGTACACTCCCATTTAGCATCTGGGCTGACTTACCAGTTGTAGCTCACTGATGGTATCCTCAAGTTTCAACTCCATCTCATTTCTCTCCTTGTTGGACTGGGCAACTTTCTTCTGCATCTCACTCATCTCTTCCAGAAGGCCACACACTCGACCACTTTCTGCATTCTGTTGACTGATTCTTTCAGTAAGTTCTCTTCCTAAATTTTGTACTTTCTCATCTAAGTCTTTCTTTTCCAACACCATAGATTCATAATCACTTTTAAACTTTTTGAATGCAGCAGTTTTTGTCTGTCTTTCAATTTCTAAGTCTTTTAATTCTGATCTGAGAAGGAGGATCTCTTGTTCAGACTTTTCCAAGTGATGTTGCAAACTACTGACTTTATCCTGAAGATCTTTTACTTCAACTAATTGTCTTTCCATATCTGTATTTCCTTGCCTCAATGAAGAAATTTCTTGAAGTAGTGAATCCTTATCTTGCACAAGTTCTTTGCAGTTCTCCTTCAAAATGGGAAGTTGGTCAGCTTGGAGTCCTAAATCAGCAATTTTTTCTTCCATATTAGCATGTTTATTGTTCAAATCCTCCACTTTGGCTCTGAGCACTTCACACTCCTCCTCTAAGTCTTGTTTTTTGCGACAGTCTATTTCTAAGACCTCTAATTTGGAGTTCACCTGCCTTTTTTCCTCTAATTGTTGTTTTAAACTACTGGCAGTCTCTGTCACTTGCATTTCAAGAGACATGTTTGTTCTCTTCAAAGCAGAAATTTCTGCTAAAAGTGAATTATTTGTTTGTTCGAGTTCTTCACATTTCTGTCTTAGAGCTGGGATTTGTTCAATTTTGAGACCAGCCTCTGCTAACTCATCCTGTATGGTGAGACGTTCGTCAGCCAATTCTTTGACTGTGGCTCGCAGTACTTCACACTCCTCCTCTAGAGAAGCAATTGCATCATGTGTTAGTTTATCCTGACCCTCACTTTGTAAGTGGTCCAACTTTGAAATCAACTGAGCCTTCTCTCTTTCTACTGATTCGAGTTGTTCCTGTAAGTTGCTGGCTTTTTCTCTGATTATCTGGATCTCAACTGCTTGCATTTCTGCCCCTGTGCTTTTCTCCTTTAAAGAAGAAATTTCCTCGAGAAGTGATTCTTTTTCCTGAGCAAGTTCCTCACATTTCTCTTTTAGAATGGGTAGTTGTTCAAGTTTCATACTTGACTCTGTCAGTTCATCCTGTATACTAATACGTTCATCAGCCAAATCCTTCACTGTAGCTCTCAGAACTTCACATTCTTCCTCCAGTGTAGCAACCTTATCATTTTCAGTATCTATGCCTTCTACTGACTTAACTCTCTCAGCTTCCAGCTTCTCTGTTTGCTGTTTCAGAACAGACAATTCTTCCTTCAGCTTCTCCATGGCCTCAATAGAATCAGCTGCCTCTGATTTAGAAAGTCCCTTTTCTTCCTCAAGCTCCCTGACAGCCTCTCTCAACCTTTCACATTCCTCCATTAAAACCAATGCACTGTTACTATCAGCTGGTGTTTCCATACTCTCACTTTGTAAGTTTGCCCCCTCAGAAACCACATGACTTTTCTCTTGTTCTTCCAGATTTAATGGTTCCATTAGACTATTGGATTTCTCTATAACATTCTGCAGTTCCAGTTCCTGAATCCCTGATTTCTTTCCTTCCTTTAAAGAGGAAATTTCACATAATAATGCATTTTTTTCTTTTAAAAGTTCCTCACACTTCTCCTTCAGAACTGGCAGTTGTTCAACATCTGTTAATTTTTCTTGCATACCAAGGCATTCATCAGCTAGATCCTTTACTGTCGCTCTAAGAACTTCACATTCACCCTCTAGTGTTGCTATCTTATTTCTGTCTGTGCCTTCTAATGAATTCACCTTCTCACCTTCAAGTTTTTCTATTTGAAGTTTAAGAACAGAACACTCATCTTGTAATTTTTGCAAGGCATCACCCGAGTCGGTGATTAATATTTTAGAAGACTGGTTTTCTTCTTCAAGCTTTCTTACGATCTCCCGCAACCTCTCACATTCCTGTCCTGGTTCACCCTGACATTCACTTTGTAAACTCTCCACCCTTGACATCAACTTATTTTTCTCTTCTTCTGCCAATTCATGCAGTTCCTGTAAATTGCTGACTTTTTCTTGGAGAATCTTCATTTCAACATCCTTCATTTCCGATCCTGTGTTTTCCCTTAATGAAGAAATTTCCATTAAGAGTGATTCCTTTTCTTGTACGAGTTCCTCGCATCTCTCTTTCAGAATGGGTAATTGCTCAATGTCTTTCAATTCATCCTGCATATTAAATCGCTCATCAGCCAAATCCTTCATGGTGGCTCGGAGTACTTCACACTCCTCCTCTAGTGCAGCCATTTTATTGTCCATCGTTTTTTTCTCGCATTCATTTTGCAACAACTCCAATCTTGAAATTAAATTATTTCTTTCTTCTTTTACTAAATGTAGCTCTTCCTGAAAACTGTTGGCTTTCTCCCTGAGAATCTGCATGTCAACCTCCTGCATTTCTGATCCTGCTTTCCCATCTCTCAGTAAAGCAATTTCTTCCACAAGCAAATCATTCTTTTGCACAAGCTCCTCACATTTGTCTTTCAAGGTGGGGAGTTGTTCAAGTTTAACACCAACCTCTGTCAATTCATCCTGCATGTTGAGACGTTCATCAGCCAAATCCTTCACTGTGGCTCTTAGCACTTCACACTCTTCCTCCAGCATCAACATTTTGTTACTTTCAGCGTGATTACTGTCCACTAACTTCACCTTTTCTTCCTCAAGTTCTTGTAATTGGAGTTTCAGAACAGAGTATTCTGCCTGTAATTTTTGCATACCAGCATCACTTTCAATTGCCTCTGATTCAGAAGACATTTTTTCTTCCTCAAACTTTCTAACGGTCTCTCTCAGTCTTTCACATTCTTCCTGTAAGACAGACAAAGAACTTAAAGCTGTTGTATCCTGGCCCTCACTATTCAAGTTTTCCATCTTTGAAATCAAAGTAATCCTCTCTGCTTCTGTCTGTTCCAATTTTTTTTCCAAACTGCAAGCTTTCTCTTGGAGACTCTGCAGCTCCTGAATTTCAACCTCTGTCTTCCTCTCTTCTTTAATGGATGTGATTTCCTTTAAAAGAATTTCTTTTTCTTGTACAAGCTCCTCGCATCTCTCTATCAGAATGGGTAACTGTTCTATATTTTTCATTTCATCCTGCATATTGAGTCGTTCATCAGCTAAATCCTTCACAGTGGCTCTAAGTACTTCACACTCCTCCTCCAGAGCAGCCATGGCATCGTCTACTGGTTTTTCCTGACCTACACCTTGTGAGTTTTCCATTTTGGAAATCAATTGCACTTTCTCTTCTTCAAGCAATTCAAGTTGTTCCTGTAAGTTGCTGTTTTTTTCTCTAAGAATCTGCATTTCCTCATCCATTGTCTCTGGTCCGGTATCCCCCTCCTTTTTCAATGAAGAAATTTCCTCGAGAAGTGATTCTTTTTCCTGAGCAAGTTCCTCACATTTCTCTTTTAGAATGGGTAGTTGTTCAAGTTTCATACTTGACTCTGTCAGTTCATCCTGCATACTAATACGTTCATCAGCCAAATCCTTCACTGTAGCTCTCAGAACTTCACATTCTTCCTCCAGTGTAGCAACCTTATCATTTTCAGTATCTATGCCTTCTACTGACTTAACTCTCTCAGCTTCCAGCTTCTCTGTTTGCTGTTTCAGAACAGACAATTCTTCCTTCAGCTTCTCCATGGCCTCAATAGAATCAGCTGCCTCTGATTTAGAAAGTCCCTTTTCTTCCTCAAGCTCCCTGACAGTCTCCCTCAACCTTTCACATTCCTCCTTCATCTCGGTCATTTCACTTTCCACTTGTTTCTCCTTACACTCATTTTCTAAGTCCTCCACTTTTGATAACAACATTACTTTCTCTTCTTCTGTTTGTTGAAGCTTTTGCTGCAAATCACTGGCTGTCTCTTTCAAATCTTGCAAATCTTCCTCATCTTTCATTTTCCCTTCCTCTTTCAATAAATTAAGTTCCACTGAAAGAGATTCATTTTCTTGCATAAGTTCCTCAAACTTCTCCTTCAGAACAGGTATCTGTTCAATCTTAATCCCAAAACCAGTTAAAGTTTCCTGCACACTCAGGCGTTCATCAGCCAAATCCTTTGCAGTGGCTTGAAGCACGGCATACTCCTTCTCCAACGAAGCCAATTTGGTACTATCAGTATCCACTCCTTGTAGCTCCACTTTCTCAGCTTCAAGTTTCTCTACTTGAAGTTTGAGAATGGAACATTCCTGTTCTAATTTTTGTATGGCGTCTGTAGGTTCTTGGGGTTCTGTTTTAGAAAATGTCTTTTCCTGTTCAAACTGTTTAATAGTTTCTTTCAAGTCCTCACATTCTTGCTGTAGTTTGAACAAGTTTGTATCCGGACTTTCCAGAGTTCCAGACTTCCTGAAGTTCTCTAGCTCATTCTGACAGTCTGTCATCCTTCGAGTCTGTATACCCAGCTTGTGTTCTGTCTGTATAACCTCATCGGACAATTTCATGCATTCATGCTGGATCATGTCCTTTTCCTGTAAAAAGAAATGACAGTATTTTACCTATTTTACAGATTTCCTTATCCAAACCACCCATCATTTCTTTATATCAGATATAAAAAAAAAGCTATGCTTATGTTTATGTTATTCGCCTTTTAAATAAAAGTAAAAAAATTTACACAAAAAATCTGGTAAAACTGTAAAAAAAAAAAAAACCTATTCCATCAAACTAAAAAAAAGCAAGAGACCCAGAGGGCCTGGATCTTTAAGCCCAGCGATGTTATACATGCCTATAGGTTGGGTATTTTAAATGTCTCCAAATTAAAGCTCAGTCACTTAACCTCTTTGATGGGGGCAAGACCAATGGGTAAGTTCTTATATCATTACCGTCTTTCTCTTTTGATTTCCAGTAAGAGTTTATATGGTTATCTGGTTGGTGGGGCCAAACCCCAGAACCAATTCTTACATCACATCTTACATCTTTATGCCCAGCAATACCATACATGGTTACGGGATAGGGATCTAAACTGTTTCCAAACACATTTCCCCTATTGAGTCCCTCCCCTCCTGCCCAAAGGGGCCAAGATCCACCGTTTATACAAAATTGATTCCCCTCCACCCAGAGATGCTTCTGAGCAAATTCTAATCATTCCTACAAGAGGAGTAGGATCTGAAAGAATTTGCTCTTTTTCACCTATTGGCCCCAAGCTCTGAAATATTTGTTTTAGGGTACTCTTTTTTTGCAGATTAAACCTAAGACATCATTTCAAGGGGAAAATTTTTCACAGATATCACACAAACATACAGATTCATCAGCAGTCTTATCTGTTGAATCTGATTTCTGTGGTGTGTCTACAGCCACGAAAATGACAAAAGGTTCTACACCACAAATATTTCCATATATATACAGTATACAATATTACCAGAGTGCCTGCAACACAATTTTTTGCCACACACAAGAGAGAATAACATGGTACATACATCATGTAGCTCAACAATATTTTCCTCCAAAGTTTTCCTCTCGAGGTTGTGGAAGGTTGACATATCATCAAACTCTGTCTGTAGACGAGCATGATCTTTCAGCAAGGCTTCATATTTATCTTCACTGAAAAACATGAAAGAATTAACAATGTAATGCTATAGTATATGCCACGGAGAAATCATTATGACATTATTATTGTTCTTGCCATAGTTTCGTACTGAATGCTGAAAACTTAAACTTACTTATTCTACCTGTTGTAAATATCACAGATACAGTAAAACTCACTTGTGTCGAACACGCATGAGTCCAATACATTGGATGAGTCGAACGCTTCGTTCGGTCCCGATTTTTTCTCCTCTTTATCTTAGTAAATTAAACAAGATGAATCGAACACTGTTGAATCGAATACTGTGGTTGTGTCGAATATATTTTGTGGTCCGTCCCTTCTAAATCATACAAAAAATTCCATTTTGTGTCGAACATTCAGACACCATGTTGTCTCAGGTAAATTTTCCTGGTCAGTAACGAGTGTGATCGGTCAGCCGTAACAGTGTCAACAGGCTTACATGCACAATGTAATTTCACAGTATCCATCTACCTAATCCTTATGTTTATACAGGTGCACAGGTAATTATCTCATTTAACCCAGAACTATGCGATCAAACAGCCATTGAAATAAAACATCTCATGTTTACTTTTTGCCCGTGAGTTGTTGTTTTATTTGAGTGAAAATGTGAACATTTGAGTGGAAGTGTCAAAAGGGGCTATAAATTAGGGTGAAAATTCGGGATTTGTCATTCATTCCACTCTCAATCATGAGTTTAGACTTTGATGGAGAATATTTGTCTCAACGATCCAAATACTATAAATGTGAGTACAATATGTGTACATGTATATTTGTAAGTATTGTTTTCACAAAGTACCCAGTGTAACGTGTGTCTTTTGTTCAATCTTGTATGCATTATCCACGTGTTTGTGACAATGATGATTACAGTAACTGTCATTAACCTACGATTTATTTGTATTTTGATAAAAAATAATTGTTATTATAAAATAGAGATGTTGTTTGTTCTTTTCATTAATACCTTGCTATCAGACACGATCTGCGAAAACAGGGTCAGTTTAAATATACGATGTCTCGATTACAGGCGATAGACAAAAACACGGTTGAGTCGAACCATCAGATAAGTAGAATATTTCACTTGGTCCCATTGACTTTGACTTATCCGAGGTTTACTGTAGGTTCATGTTTAGTAAATGACAATATCACTCCAAAGGAATAGCATAATACAAAGGTTATATGAAAACTGGCAAATTTCAGAGCATTTGAAAACTATTACCTTTTCTATCATATCAAGAAATAGTTTCCACGGGTTGGTGTAAGTATAAATTCCAATAGATTTTCATGTAGCCCATACATTTAAAATCTTGGTGACTAGACTGTCATCCTCACCAGAAAATTAACAATAAACACAAGATGTTGAGGTATAAAATGTCCTTGACTGCACGGAATCACTCTTTCTCTCTTTGAAATTTTAGGTCCTCTTCGCTTTTTCATATTTGCATTCGCCATATTGCTTCTTTCTAGGCTTATATCACGCTCAGCATCAGGGTTACGAGCAGTAAGGTATTAATTAGATCAAGACCGCACTGTTTACATTCTTTATTTTTTAGATATCAATAAAAATGGTTGCAGAGACTTTTAATTTTAGTAATTAACACAAAGTCTTAGTTTTGTAACATACTATTGGAAAATAGAAAGTTTTATATCCTTTTGTCGTAGTGTTTTTTAACATTATAGTCGCTTTAAATGTTGTTAGCTGAAAACTACTCAGTAAAGTAGAAAGGAGAGAATATGAAGGGATAAATGAGAACTTACAGATCCATCATTCGTTTGGTTTTAGCATCGGGACTCATGCTAATGGCAGATCTCTTTTCCTGCATCTTCGTTTGTTCAAATGATCTCTTCCTTGTTGTTATATTTGCTGGTATCATTGGAGCATCTTCCTCGGGGAGAGTTTCTGGCAGATCCTCAACTACCGGCAGCTCAGACAGAAATATGTCCTCCTCAACTGAAAACACCATAGGAAAATTACAATATTTGTCAGTCACATGCAAACATAAGATTTCTCAAACAGATAATTGGGAATGCACATGATATGTTATTTGACAAACTGATATATGATGATAACAAGTCTGTGTCTGTTGACAAATGGTGATTTTGTTTCCATATTAAGTAGGATGGCTTTACAATCAAATCTAAAGTTTCTAAGGTTATGTCGTGTATCAGTAGACAGCTGACAGAGAGGCTGAAACTTGAGTTTTTGGTAATTTATATCAGAGAAACAGACAGTCAGTATTTTGCAAAATTTGGGTAAAGGCTGAAAATGTTTCATATCTGTTTAATGCATCAGAGTTTTATTGTATTGCATACAAAGTCACATCATCTAATTTCATTTTTAATGGGAAGAGCTGTAGGAACTGTCTGCAAGATATTTGTCCAAAACAAAACAAAATTAACTATGAAAGTATTTTCTGCACTGTCACCCCTCTGATATATCCTGTTTTCCTTAGTTCTAATTTTCTTAAAATACAGATTATTATAATACACTACATTATGCAGATATGAAGACTGCTGGTAAAGGGTCATGCTCAGATGACCTTTCAACCAAGCAATCAAAATGCGACTGGCAAAATCCAAAATCTTGCAAGAGCCTGTTTCTTTTTGGCTCTTATCATGGTTTGTCATGATTAAATTGATAAAAAACAAGTGTCTTGAATCTCAACCATACCAAGATGGCTTCGCCTATGCTTTACAATTCTCATTGCTGGTTATCGTAACTACGTCTGAAGGAACTGAAGTGATACTTTAAATATTTTCAACACTGTCTCTATTGCCTGTTCCATTGTTGTAATTTAAGTATTGAGGTCATCTGAACATGACCCCTTCCCTGGCACAGTCAGATCTTCATAGCTTTCAGTATAATGATGACGTGTGTTTTAATCAGATTGAATTAAATGTTACTGTAGTAGCTTATTCACACCCCCTCAAGGTTATTTTTCTGATATTTCAACATTTAAAAAGATGTGTAACACAATCCTACCTACCAGCGAAGGAGACTGATGGCCTAAAGATGTGTAACACAATCCTACCTACCAGCGAAGGAGACTGATGGCCTAAAGATGTGTAACACAATCCTACCTACCAGCGAAGGAGACTGATGGCCTAAAGATGTGTAACACAATCCTACCTACCAGCGAAGGAGACTGATGGCCTAAAGATGTGTACCACAATCCTACCTACCAGCGAAGGAGACTGATGGCCTAAAGATGTGTACCACAATCCTACCTACCAGCGAAGGAGACTGATGGCCTAAAGATGTGTACCACAATCCTACCTACCAGCGAAGGAGACTGATGGCCTAAAGATGTGTAACACAATCCTACCTACCAGCGAAGGAGACTGATGGCCTAAAGATGTGTACCACAATCCTACCTACCAGCGAAGGAGACTGATGGCCTAAAGATGTGTACCACAATCCTACCTACCAGCGAAGGAGACTGATGGCCTAAAGATGTGTACCACAATCCTACCTACCAGCGAAGGAGACTGATGGCCTAAAGATGTGTAACACAATCCTACCTACCAGCGAAGGAGACTGATGTAACACAATCCTACCTACCAGCGAAGGAGACTGATGGCCTAAAGATGTGTACCACAATCCTACCTACCAGCGAAGGAGACTGATGGCCTAAAGATGTGTACCACAATCCTACCTACCAGCGAAGGAGACTGATGGCCTAAAGATGTGTACCACAATCCTACCTACCAGCGAAGGAGACTGATGGCCTAAAGATGTGTACCACAATCCTACCTACCAGCGAAGGAGACTGATGGCCTAAAGATGTGTACCACAATCCTACCTACCAGCGAAGGAGACTGATGGCCTAAAGATGTGTAACACAATCCTACCTACCAGCGAAGGAGACTGATGGCCTAAAGATGTGTACCACAATCCTACCTACCAGCGAAGGAGACTGATGGCCTAAAGATGTGTACCACAATCCTACCTACCAGCGAAGGAGACTGATGGCCTAAAGATGCTCATTCTCTTATTTTTCCCAGGACACCATGTCTCTCTTCTTTTTCTCTGTGAACAGAAAAATAAATATGCAAAATGATGCTCATCATCATTATAATAAAATCAGAACCAGTCTGTTGATAAACCTTGAAAAACCTTGAAAAATATTGGTATTTTGACTAGTGACAGGATGTTACCACATAATAGATTAACTATCATCTGACCTCTTCTAACGCAGTGATTTATTTTAAATTTTAATAATCACTCAACGGTACTGATCATTTATGGTGTTGTAGCAAACACATATTTCATATTACAAGTCATAAACATGCCGATTTCCAATATTTTTCTTTCTTCTGCAGAGGAGAAAGCATTTACTTTCTTAGAGTATTGTACACACAGCCAGTCAATTATATAATTGATTACCTACATCAAAACCAATATTATTTAAACTAATAATCCATTCTAGATTTTTATCGACTTCCCATCACTAATTCAGACAAGACAGACTGAATATTTGTTTTCTTTTGTACTTTGATTACCACCTGAAAAATTTCCTCCATATCTAAATGATTCAATAACTTTAATTATCTGTTAGACCAAACTTTGGACAGCTGACCAGGCGAGATTTACATGATACCTTGGCATGACTTTGTGTAGGGCCAGACTGGATAATAAACTTCTTCAAGTTGTTTATCTGTGCTTCCTTTTGTTCCAGGCTTTTCTTCAGGTCCTGGTTTTCAATTTTCCCACGCTACAGACAAAGGATTGATTAATATACTACAGAATTTTCCTGGGACTCAATTTTCATGGATTTTTTTTTCATTTGGTTTTATTTAATCAGTTTGTAGACATATGAATTCATGCATTAAGACCACCAACAAAATCAACCAAGATGAATTCCCAACAAAACTTGATGATTTTACCGTATTCCTTCTTTAACATTACCAAAACCTTGAAAATATTCTGATGTTCAGTGTTTCTGCTTAAGTTGTTCTAGAAAGAGAATGTTTTCTAAATGTACAATATGCATACTTACCTCGTTTAATTGTACCTGGTGGTGAATTTCTTTCTGGTACTTTTTCAGCATGGCTGCTTCGGACAATACTTCATTGATCATGGCTTTGTTTTTAATTTTTTTGGCCTGTGATGCAAACTGCATGGAAAACAATAAAAACCCTCAACTCTTATTCACTTTATTTCATTATGAAAAGGCAAACATATATAAAACAGTAAACCTATACAAAACAGCTCCTTTAACTCCTGGCTTTGACATTACTGTTCTAAACATTATATTTAAGAAGTGACACCATAAACTACCATTTTAATTTATTTCTTTACCTTTTTTCAAATATTCCCAAATATGATCAATATCACCAAACATATACAGTCTAACCTGTCATAACTGCCACCTTAGTTAGACAGCCACCTGCTTATAACAGCCGTTTTCAGACCCTCCCAATCGGTTTTACTCATTAATGATACCTAATTTAACGGCCACCTGTCTAACGCCGCCAGCCGCCACCCTTTTCGTCCCCAAACTCGTGATCGAACCTCATTTAAATGGCCGCTTTGACCACAATTCATTTGACAAGCTTTCTTGACTGTGAGTCATGTTTTCTCGCCACGTGAACATTCCTACATGTTAACACAATTCAACATGCATTTTATATTGAGTTTGATTTCATTTACGTCACTAGTATACACAATACAGGCATATCACTTTTGTGGCAAATCACTTTGAAATATGAGCAGCAAACGAAGTCAGACCAAACCACAAACTCCTAAGTACAGGAATACAGTGACAATCCTGATTATTAAACTGTACTCAAATATCAATGTGCAAATTGCCTTAACTTGGGTTCGAAAATAAGGAACCTCAATTAAGAGGCCACCTCTCTATAAAGGCCACTTTCATAATTTCCCAACAGTGGCCGTTTAATACAGGTTAGACTGTATAAAGTGTTGAATTATATGATCCATTTGTTTTTGAGACAATCACATCCCTCTACCAGCACTTCAATGTAAAGTGATAAAACAGAAATTTTGTTTTTGAAACAATCCCCTAAGTTATGAAGCATATGAATACTATTACAACTATCTCTAAACACAATTATGAAGGGATATGACAAAGATAGTTCTCATTTCTATAGACAATCCTCAAACATCAGATCAGAAGCTGATGTAATTGACGGTGATCATGACAACACCACAGTCTTGGTTCATTGTTTTAAAAACATTACCCCCTACTGAGATCTCATCAACTAGTAAGATACTGATATATCATCAACTAGTAAGATACTGAGATCTCATCAACTAGTAAGATACTGAGATGTCATCAACTAGTAAGATACTGAGATCTCATCAACTAGTAAGATACTGAGATGTCATCAACTAGTAAGATACTGAGATCTCATCAACTAGTAAGATACTGAGATGTCATCAACTAGTAAGATACTGAGATGTCATCAACTAGTAAGATACTGAGATGTCATCAACTAGTAAGATACTGAGATGTCATCAACTAGTAAGATACTGAGATCTCATCAACTAGTAAGATACTGAGATCTCATCAACTAGTAAGATACTGAGATCTCATCAACTAGTAAGATACTGAGATCTCATCAACTAGTAAGATACTGAGATGTCATCAACTAGTAAGATACTGAGATCTCATCAACTAGTAAGATACTGAGATCTCATCAACTAGTAAGATACTGAGATCTCATCAACTAGTAAGATACTGAGATATCAACTAGTAAGATACTGAGATCTCATCAACTAGTAAGATACTGAGATCTCATCAACTAGTATGATACTGAGATCTCATCAACTAGTAAGTTACTGAGATCTCATCAACTAGTAAGATATGCAGTTGTTGCTTTTGACACCATTCCCCATATAATAAGTGAGCCAGACGTACCCTGAGTGTGCTGTGAGATTCCTCCAGGGAAGCAGGAGTGATGGTAGCAATGATGGCCGTTTTAGAATTTCCTCCTAATGATATTTGCAGTATCCTGGTAAGCTTTGAGTCACGATAACTAATATGCTGGTTGCTGAAGGAAAATAAAATTGAAACTTATTTACATCTGACAAATCATATACATACCATGTTTGATCTAGCCTCAGCCGGGTTAGAAAAAATCACTCGTCCGCTCGTCTAGACAAGTCAAAGCTACTTGCGAGCGAGTGATTTGTTTCAGCTACTTGTCCAGCGGGCGAGCGAAATTTGTAGTTTTGACTATTGAATATTCCATAATAAATGACGTTTATCAACTTAAACAATCCACTGATAGTCAATAAAATACATCGATGTCGTATCCTTGTTTACACCATGTGTCAAGACTCGGGCTGATCCAGACTACGCGAAAACCTATTACGTCACCACAAATGTTGTAAACAAGGTTGTTTTGTGTACGTAGTTACTGTCAAAAAGTTGATGTTCTCGCTCGCGTTACAGTGAATTAAATATGAGTAAAAGAATAAAAGCAAGTGTTGAGTTCAAACATTTGATACAGAAATTGATAATAAAATTTGTGTTCCTTAAATTATGTTTTGTTGCCTTTTTTCTTCGAGTGAGTGAATATTGGATTCGGGCAAGTGAATTTCAAGTTTCACCCGACAGTTTGCCCGACAGACGAGTATCAGAAAAATTTTTTTTCTAGCCCTGCTCAGAAAACACCCAAGAATCAAAGCATTATACAATAACTTCCTGTAGACACTTTAAGCTAAAAGATATGCCAAAGACTAAAACCACAGGAACACATGTTGTATGTGATATGGAGTTTGGGGTTTGGGGTAGGGGAAGGGGGTTGGAGTAGCATTTGGGGGTCGTGAGTAGGTAGTTGGAATAAGGGGATTCGGGTGAGGGTAGGGAGTAAGGTTTTAGGGCTTGGGAGTGGGTGAATAACCTACCTTACTCCATCGCTGAGTTTGCTAATGACTTGTCCAAGAATCAGAAGGCTTTTGTTGATGGAGCAGCCTTCACGAAGACGATCCCCAGAGTTTTCTCCCGCTTTTTCTGAACCAGCAAGATCAACAAAATTCTGTAGGATAAAACAAATTTTAAATGATTTCAAATTTACAGTTCCCATTAGTAGTACTGATGACTAGTCAAACAAATATGGAAAAGCTTTCCCTAGAACGTACAAATCAATCAGTTAAAATTATATTCTAAAATCACATACAGCTGAAATTTGCTGTCTTGAAATCACTTGAGTTCAAATTCCATTGGAGTCAAAATAACTTCTAAGTCCTGATTTTTTTTCCTTTTTCATCTTTGTAATTGTTTTTCGGATGACTAAGATTTCATTTCGTCAGAATTTCGTTTGAGTCAAAGTGATTTTCAGTCCCAGTAAAGCTGGTGAAAAGTCATTTGTAGTCTCTAAATTTGCTAGTCTGAACTAACAGGAGAATGTGTGACGATGATTCTCATGCTTTTATGCTTAAAACTGAAAAGTAAGGCTTCGCAAATGAGTGAATTCATCATAAAAGTCTTCAGGATTTCCTCGCTATGTTTTCACAATTCCAGAAACTAGCCTTCACTCTGTGCTATCACCTCAATAGCAGTGGTGAACATTGCACAGTTCCCATGATTTATTTTTTTCATTAAATGTCATGGCTTGTCAGTACACAATTAAACTTTGTGTCCAGGCATGAGTTAACCCTGTTATAGCAGTGTGCTATCATCATCCCTTAGACTGTTTTTTATGCCATTAATTGCCGTTAATAATAATATCCACACTTTAGGGGAGGAAATGTGCCAATATGGCTACTTACCAGATGAGCAACCATGACTGCTTCTTCATCACCCTTCTCTCGGCTCTCAATAATCTGAATGAAAGAACACAGACAAATTACAATTCAGGAAAAATTCTATTGAATGACTTTCATTCGTTTGACCGTTTCTGCACTTGATTTTTTTTTTGTTAAGGAAGTATCATATTTCCATACCACTGAAGTAACAGTGGTCTACTGAAGTGTCGAAATCTCATTTGTTAGCTGGGTTTATTACCCTGTAAACAGCCAGGGTCATTTTGAGGTGGGGTCTCCCTGTAGTAACAGGTGGATACCTCACTGAACAACATGCAGGAGGCCTTAAACATCTATACAGTATCCAAAGAAATTGGGATAAAGTGAAAACCATAACAGTGCCAAAAAATCAGTGATTTCCTGAGAAATACAGATTGCATCCAAGACCTTGGTTCTTCACAGACGATTGCTGATGTTCTATTGTTCTACAGAGCTAATCACACGACCACTGCTCTCCCCTCCCTCCCTCCAACCCCCACCCCCCATTCCCCCCGCCCCCCTTGAAGTGTTAGTATCCTATACTTACTATACGTATAATACAATGAGACCGAGAGCTGCGGTCATTTTGTTTTGTTTCTGCCATGTGACGCCGGTCTGCAACAAAAGCATGACTGTATTAGAAATTTTCCAAAAGTTTAATTGAACTTTTGAATGCTTTTTTTCAGAAGACATGAAAAAGAAAAAAATATTCACAACAAAGTTCTTTACAGCAAAACAAAGTATACAATTAACAAACCTTATCATAAAAGTTATTTTAAAAAGTTTATGGTTCAAGCAATGTCATTATTTATGAACACAACCAAAATTGTAAGAGTACTATTTAACACAATGACACCAAGGCTCTCACAATTGAAACACACACATATAGAACTCAACAATGAATTATTTCTCACCAAGGACAGTCATCACAATGACACATTAACCATAAATAGATAAGTACGTTAAGTCAGCATTACAATGACACATTAACCATAAATAGATAAGTACATTAAGTCAGCATCACAATGTCACATTAACCATAAATAGATAAGTACATTAAGTCAGCATCACAATGACACATTAACCAAAAATAGATAAGTACGTTAAGTCAGCATCACAATGACACATTAACCATAAATAGATAAGTACATTAAGTCAGCATCACAATGACACATTAACCATAAATAGATAAGTACATTAAGTCAGCATCACAATGACACATTAACCATAAATAGATAACTACATTAAGTCAGCATCACAATGACACATTAACCATAAATAGATAACTACATTAAGTCAGCATCACAATGACACATTAACCATAAATAGATAACTACATTAAGTCAGCATTACAATGACACATTAACCATAAACAGATAAGTACATTAAGTCAGCATCACATAGATACATTTACCATGTCTTACTAATGTTGTAAAATTTGATATCTTAATGACAATCTACTTTAATTCCAAACAGTGATGTTCATGATATGAACAAACCAACAGCACATGCATGAAAACCAACTTTAATCTTACAGTCAGCGTCATGTTTCAGTAATGTGTAAAGTTCAGTCCATCTTATAGACAGAGGCTACTTACTGTCGCCTTTCTGTATGATGGCCAACACATCGCTGCTGCTGCTCACGAGCTCCTCCTTCACACCTGTCACTTGGATGTTCTTCTCCTGAAACACAACAATGATATAAATTAGTGATGCACGTGATTAAATTTCTACCTAAATGGTTTTTTCTGCTCTCCGTAATTTGATTTCTGCTTTGAATTGAAACGTGTTTTTTGAAGTGATCTATTTCATTTTTAATTACAAGACATACACAAAGTTCTCAAATCCAAAATAGATTGTGATATTTAAAGCGATATTGTGATATACCTTGTTCTATTGTATTTGAGTATTATATCGAAATGATTTTTGTAGAACTATGAGCATTATAAAACAATAGCTACATTTAATGCAGTGATGTACTGAAAACTACACAAAACACCACAGAAGTTAGACAATACATCAATCAAAACTGAATTTAATACACTGCGATACTGAAAGTCATTGCAATGCAATGTCCCTCACCAAATATTGCAGTATGTAATGACTAAGGCTAGGCTATCGCCCATCCCTACATACAAGAAACCTTACAATAATGTAAACAACCAAAGTGATACATAATACTGATCAAATTTTCAATCTGCTACAATAACAGCTTCATACCTGAAAATATTGCACTCATCCTCTATATAAGATATACACTAATCCTCTAGATGATATACACTAATCCTCTATATAAGATATACACTAATCCTCTATATAAGATATACACTAATCCTCTATATGATATATACACTAATCCTCTATATGATATACACTAATCCTCTATATAAGATATACACTAATCCTCTATATGAGATATACACTAATCCTCTATATAAGATATACACTAATCCTCTAGATGATATACACTAATCCTCTATATAAGATATACACTAATCCTCTATATAAGATATACACTAATCCTCTATATGAGATATACACTAATCCTCTATATGATATATACACTAATCCTCTATATGATATATACACTAATCCTCTATATAAGATATACACTAATCCTCTAGATGATATACACTAATCCTCTATATGATATATACACTAATCCTCTATATGATATATACACTAATCCTCTATATAAGATATACACTAATCCTCTAGATGATATACACTAATCCTCTATATAAGATATACACTAATCCTCTATATAAGATATACACTAATCCTCTAGATGATATACACTAATCCTCTATATGATATATACACTAATCCTCTATATGATATATACACTAATCCTCTATATGATATATACACTAATCCTCTATATGAGATATACACTAATCCTCTATATGATATATACACTATTCCTTTATATGAGATATACACTAATCCTCTATATGATATATACACTAATCCTCTATATAAGATATACACTAATCCTCTATATAAGATATACACTAATCCTCTATATGATATATACACTAATCCTTTATATGATATATACACTAATCCTCTATATGATATATACACTAATCCTCTATATGAGATATACACTAATCCTCTATATGATATATACACTAATCCTCTATATAAGATATACACTAATCCTCTATATAAGATATACACTAATCCTCTATATAAGATATACACTAATCCTCTATATGATATATACACTAATCCTTTATATGAGATATACACTAATCCTCTATATGATATATACACTAATCCTCTATATAAGATATACACTAATCCTCTATATAAGATATACACTAATAAGATATACACTAATCCTCTATATAAGATATACACTAATCCTCTATATGATATATACACTAATCCTTTATATGACATATACACTAATCCTCTATATGATATATACACTAATCCTCTATATGATATATACACTAATCCTTTATATGATATATACACTAATCCTCTATATGATATATACACTAATCCTTTATATGAGATATACACTAATCCTCTATATGATATATACACTAATCCTCTATATGATATATACATTAATCCTCCATATGAGATATACTAACTTGGTCTTCCTGTATTTTGATAATTTTCTCCTCGCTTGACAGTAAGTCAGTCACCTTCTCGTTGTATATCTCCATGTAGGCTACACGAATCAGGAACTCCCGATGATGTGACTAAAAATATAAAGATTAGTTAGTGTGTCACCTAAACTTTCCTGTTGTCTTCCTCCTATGATAACGATATCTTCACCCACATTTTTAGTCAATGAAGTGCTTGAAAAATGCTGTATAATATACGACTATTGTTTGTTTTATGTTTTCTTAATCTTGGTCATGTAAATGCAAAGTGGTGACCTATTGTAGATTGACCAAAATTTGACTAGTGAACTCTCTTTTTGAAGGAATCAATTTGAAACAGTGAAGCTTAACATAAGAATTTATGCCAATAATCTGGAAAAACAAGGTAGGGTTTGCCATAGTAATTCATTTGATGATATGTTGTGTTTTATCCTCCAAAATGGAAGGCTCAACGTGTGTAAATTGTAACATAAAGAAATGTGTATTTCTGATGACTAGATAGGTGTTCAATGTCCATTTTCAGGCTCTTCAGTCATTCGGATAAAAAAAATGAAAGCAAATAAATATGCATTGTACCCGTTAGACACATTGTGCTGTCATAGAAATAATAACACATTTCAAAGCGAGGTTTGGACTAAATTGTCTCTCACTTCCTTAGAAACAATGACCAGAAGACATCCTTATCTTATGGGGGAGGTCTAGGAACCTCTCAAAATGGAATTTTTTCAACTTAGGATTATGTTCAATGGAAATGTCATGTTTAGATAATTTCACTGGGAAAAAAGAAATTGCTTTCATTTATCATAAATGCATAATCAGTTTTTGTCCAACAAACTAGACTCAAACCAAACCTACAGCTTCTATAATGGCGAATATTTCCTCTACAGCGAGTGAAATGATTCCTTTCTGCATCGGACTTCCGGACATGGTAAATGTTTTTCCCGAGGAACTCTGACCGTAAGCAAATATCGTTCCTGAAAAATAATTGACAGTGTTGTTTACATTAGAATTAAAGAAAATACAAAAGATGTAAACAGGTGTTTCTTTATTTATATTGTTACCCTGCATTATTAGACATTGTTTACTTATTCAAAATTTTAAAATTTACTTCTAAAATTTACTCTCACCTTGTATATAAGATAGATAAAAGAGGGAAAATGTTTTCAATTACCATTAAATCCCTGCACAGCACCTTCAACAATAGGTTTACAGACTTCTTCGAAGATATCATAAGTTGTCATCAATTCATCAAAGATACGATCTGAAAATAGATAAATATCACCTTATTTAATTTCATCAAATTTAATCAACTCTTTCAAAAGGCTGTTTGTAATTATACCATTAAGAAAAAGATAGTCCTTTAATTTTAAATCTGCAAAACAATAAATCACTCAAGGTATTCAGAACTCTCCAAGTCCAGGAAATACAGCCATTCAAGGTATTCAGAACTCTCCAAGTCCAGGAAATACAGCCACTCAAGGTATTCCTAACTCTCCAAGTCCAGGAAATACAGCCATTCAAGGTATTCAGAACTCTCCAAGTCCAGGAAATACAGCCATTCAAGGTATTCAGAACTCTCCAAGTCCAGGAAATACAGCCATTCAAGGTATTCAGAACTCTCCAAGTCCAGGAAATACAGCCATTCAAGGTATTCAGAACTCTCCAAGTCCAGGAAATACAGCCATTCAAGGTATTCAGAACTCTCCAAGTCCAGGAAATACAGCCACTCAAGGTATTCAGAACTCTCCAAGTCCAGGAAATACAGCCACTCAAGGTATTCATAACTCTCCAAGTCCAGGAAATACAGCCACTCAAGGTATTCATAACTCTCCAAGTCCAGGAAATACAGCCACTCAAGGTATTCATAACTCTCCAAGTCCAGGAAATACAGCCACTCAAGGTATTCATAACTCTCCAAGTCCAGGAAATACAGCCACTCAAGGTATTCATAACTCTCCAAGTCCAGGAAATACAGCCACTCAAGGTATTCATAACTCTCCAAGTCCAGGAAATACAGCCATTCAAGGTATTCATAACTCTCCAAGTCCAGGAAATACAGCCATTCAAGGTATTCATAACTCTCCAAGTCCAGGAAATACAGCCATTCAAGGTATTCATAACTCTCCAAGTCCAGGAAATACAGCCATTCAAGGTATTCATAACTCTCCAAGTCCAGGAAATACAGCCACTCAAGGTATTCATAACTCTCCAAGTCCAGGAAATACAGCCACTCAAGGTATTCCTAACTCTCCAAGTCCAGGAAATACAGCCATTCAAGGTATTCCTAACTCTCCAAGTCCAGGAAATACAGCCACTCAAGGTATTCATAACTCTCCAAGTCCAGGAAATACAGCCATTCAAGGTATTCATAACTCTCCAAGTCCAGGAAATACAGCCATTCAAGGTATTCCTAACTCTCCAAGTCCAGGAAATACAGCCACTCAAGGTATTCCTAACTCTCCAAGTCCAGGAAATACAGCCACTCAAGGTATTCCTAACTCTCCAAGTCCAGGAAATACAGCCATTCAAGGTATTCATAACTCTCCAAGTCCAGGAAATACAGCCATTCAAGGTATTCCTAACTCTCCAAGTCCAGGAAATACAGCCACTCAAGGTATTCCTAACTCTCCAAGTCCAGGAAATACAGCCATTCAAGGTATTCATAACTCTCCAAGTCCATGAAATAGAGCCATTCGAGTGATGACAACCATTCCGATCTTGACAGGATGGACACTGATATACTTTCATTGGACCACTGTGATCTCATAGTTTAAATTTTTGATATTGTACAATTTGCTGAAATAAAGTTATTCTGTGTCACACAACAGGCTAAAATCAACCTGATCAGACAATATTGTTGCCATGACTTCTCTACTAGTATGTTAATATTCAGATAATGCCGTACACCACCTGTCTTGTGGCAATTGATCGCTGACCACCTTGATATATGGTGTAGAACCTGATGTTACGATGGCGTAGAACCTGATATTGTAATGATGGTGTAGAACCTGATGTTATGATGGTGCAGAACCTGATGTTTTGATGGAATAGAACCTGATGTTATGATGGTTGGAACCAGATGTCAGGATGGTGTAGAACCTGATATTGTAATGATGGTGTAGAACCTGATGTTATGATGGTGTAGAACCTGATGTTATGATGGTGTAGAACCATATGTTATGATGGTGTAGAACCTGATGTTTTGATGGTGTAGAACCTGATGTTTTGATGGTGTAGAACTTGATGTTATGATGGTGTAGAACTTGAAGTTATGATGGTGTAGAACCTGATGTTGTTATGATGGTGTAGAACCTGATGTTATGATGGTGTAGAACCTGATGTTATGATGGTGTAGAACCTGATGTTTTGATGGCGAGAACCTGATGTTATGATGGTGTAGAACCTGATATTATGATGGTTGGGAACCTGATGTTTTGATGGCGAGAACCTGATGTTATGATGGTGCAGAACCTGATGTTTTGATGGTGTAGAACCTGATGTTTTGATGGAATAGAACCTGATGTTATGATGGTTGGAACCAGATGTCAGGATGGTGTAGAACCTGATATTGTAATGATGGTGTAGAACCTGATGTTATGATGGTGTAGAACCTGATGTTATGATGGTGTAGAACTTGATGTTATGATGGTGTAGAACCTGATGTTTTGATGGTGTAGAACTTGATGTTATGATGGTGTAGAACTTGAAGTTATGATGGTGTAGAACCTGATGTTATGATGTGTAGAACCTGATGTTCTTATGATGGTGTAGAACCTGATATTGCAATGATGGTGTAGAACCTGATGTTTTGATGGTGTAGAACCTGATGTTATGATGGTGTAGAACCTGATGTTTTGATGGTGTAGAACCTGATGTTATGATGGTGTAGAACCTGATGTTATGATGGTGTAGAACCTGATGTTATGATGGTGTAGAACCTGATGTTATGATGGTGTAGAACCTGATGTTATGATGGTGTAGAACCTGATGTTATGATGGTGTAGAACCTGATGTTATGATGGTGTAGAACCTGATGTTATGATGGTGTAGAACCTGATGTTATGATGGTGTAGAACCTGATGTTATGATGGTGTAGAACCTGATGTCAGGATGGTGTAGAACCTGATATTGTAATAATGGTGTAGAACCTGATGTTATGATGGTGTATAACCTGATGTTATGATGGTGTAGAACCTGATATTGTAATGATGGTGTAGAACCTGATGTCAGGATGGTGTAGAACCTGATGTTATGATAGTGTAGAACCTGATGTTATGATGGTGTAGAACCTGATGTTATGATGGTGTAGAACCTGATGTTATGATGGTGTAGAACCTGATGTTATGATGGTGTATAACCTGATGTTATGATGGTGTAGAACCTGATGTTATGATGGTGTAGAACCTGATGTTATGATGGTGTAGAACCTGATGTTATGATGGTGTAGAACCTGATGTTATGATGGTGTAGAACCTGATGTTATGATGGTGTAGAACCTGATGTTATGATGGTGTAGAACCTGATGTTATGATGGTGTAGAACCTGATGTTATGATGGTGTAGAACCTGATGTTATGATGGTGTAGAACCTGATGTTATGATGGTGTAGAACCTGATGTTATGATGGTGTAGAACCTGATGTTATGATGGTATAGAACCTGATGTTGTTATGATGGTGTAGAACCTGATGTTATGATGGTGTAGAACCTGATGTTATGATGGTGTAGAACCTGATGTTATGATGGTATAGAACCTGATGTCAGGATGGTGTAGAACCTGATGTTATGATGGTGTAGAACCTGATGTTATGATGGTGTAGAACCTGATGTCAGGATGGTGTAAAACCTGATGTTATGATGGTGTAGAACCTGATGTTATGATGGTGTAGAACCTGATGTTATGATGGTATAGAACCTGATGTTGTTATGATGGTGTTATGATGGTGTAGAACCTGATGTTATGATGGTGTAGAACCTGATGTTATGATGGTGTAGAACCTGATGTTATGATGGTGTAGAACCTGATGTTATGATGGTGTAGAACCTGATGTTATGATGGTGTAGAACCTGATATTGTAATGATGGTGTAGAACCTGATGTCAGGATGGTGTAGAACCTGATGTTATGATGGTGTAGAACCTGATATTGTAATGATGGTGTAGAACCTGATGTTATGATGGTGTAGAACCTGATGTTATGATGGTGTAGAACCTGATGTTATGATGGTGTAGAACCTGATGTTATGATGGTGTAGAACGTTATTTATGATGGTGTAGAACCTGATGTTATGATAGACCTGATGTTATGATGGTGTAGAACCTGATGTTATGATGGTGTAGAACCTGATGTTTTGATGGTGTAGAACCTGATATTGTTATGATGGTGTAGAACCTGATGTTGTAATGATGGTGTAGAACCTGATATTGTTATGATGGTGTAGAACCTGATATTGCAATGATGGTGTAGAACCTGATGTTATGATGGTGTAGAACCTGATGTTTTGATGGTATAGAACCTGATGTTATGATGGTGTAGAACCTGATGTTATGATGGTGTAGAACCTGATGTCAGGATGGTGTAAAACCTGATGTTATGATGGTGTAGAACCTGATGTTATGATGGTGTAGAACCTGATGTAGAACCTGATGTTGTTATGATGGTGTAGAACCTGATGTTATGATGGTGTAGAACATGATGTTATGATGGTGTAGAACCTGATGTTATGATGGTATAGAACCTGATGTTGTTATGATGGTGTAGATGGTGTAGAACCTGATGTTATGATGGTGTAGAACCTGATGTTATGATGGTGTACCTGATGTTATGATGGTGTAGAATGATGTTATGATGGTGTAGAACCTGATGTTATGATGGTGTATAACCTGATGTTATGATGGTGTAGAACCTGATGTTATGATGGTGTAGAACCTGATGTTATGATGGTGTAGAACCTGATGTTATGATGGTGTAGAACCTGATGTTATGATGGTATAGAACCTGATGTTATGATGGTGTAGAACCTGATGTTATGATGGTGTAGAACCTGATGTTATGATGGTGTAGAACCTGATGTTATGATGGTGTAGAACCTGATGTCAGGATGGTGTAGAACCTGATATTGTAATAATGGTGTAGAACCTGATGTTATGATGGTGTAGAACCTGATGTTATGATGGTGTAGAACCTGATGTGGTTGGGAACCTGATGTTATGATGGTGTAGAACCTGATGTTATGATGGTGCAGAACCTGATGTTATGATGGTGTAGAACCTGATGTTATGATGGTATAGAACCTGATGTCAGGATGGTGTAGAGCCTGATGTTATGATGATGGTGTAGAACCTGATGTTATGTACTTTGGGGTAAATATAAACCAAATATGTTGAGAGGTTTTCAAGATATCACACTGATTTGGAAAGGACTGCAAAAGGATGTGATAGGATGCAACAGAATGTGATGAGACATGACAGACATGGGTAATACAAAATGAATCTCCATAACATGGCAGAGGCATACAAATGGAACTCATTTCTAAAGTTATTACAATATTTACCAAACGTATATGGTGTTCCCAGCTTTCCAACTGCCTCTGTTGGCTTGATAGTGTCTTCATGTACCGTCCAATGGTTTACCATTCCACCCTCCCTGTACAAAAGATGAAATTTGAAACAATAACCTTTTTGATATATAAGTGTCTATGTGCTGACTTCAAAACAATTAAATACATGCATGTAAAGTAAATCATTATAAAATGGACATGTATGTATGATATTCAATGTCACTAAAATTTTGTGTTAAGAATGGTTAAATTTGAATTATAAAATCATTATATTTGATACTTGTACAAGTTGTGTCCAATTCTGTTCTGATCTATATAGTTTAACTAAAAAAAATAAAACCTCTAAACAACAGTATCAAAATCCTTTTCATTTGTATTGTGTTAAGTGATTTATGTCACCTGTATGTGCCTGTACGTACATTCATTAAAACTATAACCATTTTCATCAAAGTAAAGACTATTATTGCCCTGCCTTTTTTGCTTTTAGTTGATTTTTTTTCTTTTCAATTATTTTGAGAAAATAATATACTAAGAAGCAAATGAAATTTTTTGGAAGAAAAATACAAAAAGAAAAAAAGAAGAACAAGTTTTACAGATCTATAATATCAGTTGAGAAGAGAAACATGTGCGATACAAATGGACACATGTCTATCAAGACACTACTTTACTTGATGCCAGATATGTAACTTTTTATTACCTTCCAATTAGTGGACGGACACGAATGGCAACCTTGATGTTATCCATCTTCCTCCTAGTCTAGTCACTAACAAGCAAGTACTGCAAATAAAAGAAACATTGCACGTTCATGAGGCATACTGAAGTTCATAGCAATCATTTCTCGTCCACGCAAGGTCTCTAGGGGACATTTTTGAATGTTTTCTTCAGGTTAGTAATGTCAATAGTACAGAAGTTCATATACCAGGTAACACAACCAGTAGAAGATTTAAGTGTGATGTTTCGATGACTAAATGGTCACCTTCACCAGACCAGTGTGGAGTGTACTAGCACTGACGTATATAGTAAACAAGATGCTACAGAATCAAACTTTTTCAAATGTCCAGATGTCCTATGTACACTAAGGTTGAAAATAGTGCTACAAGATGGTAAACAGAATAATAGATTAGAAAAGATATAGTATGGTAAAAAATACTGTTGTCAATGATGCTATGCTTTGTTTTTGAGAGATGTGCAAGAGTATATGCCCCCCCCCCCCCACCCCCACCCCTCATTCCTGTCTAGTAGTGATTGTTTTCTGTCAACTTTTTTGTAATTTCCCCAATCAATGACATGATTTTGCTGTTTGGAATGATCTGTAGGTGCCAATTGAACGATCTGGGACTGAGAGTGTTTTCACTCTGATCTGGTGAATTTTGGGCCTTCTTGGGATTTTTTATCTCTCTGATGTTCATCAAGTCTGACCCTGAATCTCCTGCCTGTTTCTCCAATATACAATATGTCGCATCTCTCTCGTTTGATTTTACTGCATTCTGCGACATTCTCTAAGGGTGTTTTATCCTTAGAATGGCCTGGGATATTTCAGTCTGGTAATTTTTCAAGGCTGTTGCTGTACTATGACCAATCCTCTGAATATCATTATATCCACACTGTCTGACGAAGCCGACCCTGTAGTCATTGAAAAATCACACATGAATCTGTCACTGGTTGTGTTATAAGAACTTCTATGGTCTCTAGAGGATGTTTTTAAAAGAAGTAGAACCATTGTTTTTTTTGTTTATTTTATTAATTTCTTTATTAATTCCTTATCCTGTCACTTACCTGAGTTCAAGAGATAATGTACAATTTCATGACCTAAAAAAAAATGATATTTTGCTTGATTTGGAAGGTTACTTGCATAATATATCCTGAGCAAGGTAACAGAGATATCTGAAATTACAGGCACAAAAGCATCACTAAGTTATTTTTCCTGAACTCGTTTTCATGATGTGTTAATTCAACATCATTGATATCATTAAAAATCATCATACAGGGTAGGTATGCAAATGCATTTTTGTGGTTATACTGTCACAAATTATTTTCATTGACAAATAAATTATTGTTACATCATTGATGTATCATAATCATTTACTTGTGACTGGGTTGTCAGAATACACATTTACATGTATTTTGACCTTTCCACAGTCTCCCCAAATCAAAGTGAGAGGTTTACATGCCTAAAGTACTTGTAAGCACATCAGCATAATGTTACCCCTTTCTGAACAGGCGACTCTCAAACATGGGTAACTGAGGGGACTGCTTGTTGAAAGTTACAGTATAAGAATATGTATATAACTCTACTGAGACTTGAAATTTTCAAGTGCTCGTTGTAAAATGATTATAACTGTTTATGAATATCTGTTTACTGTCCCAGCAACAAGTCACCTGGCCCCACTTGCATAAAACATCTCAACTTGAGATTTCCTCAAGTCTAGATTTTCCTCAGCTGATATCTCCTTGAAAATATCTTGTATGAAAATTCCTCAAGGAATTTCAGGACATCCTAGCCTATGCCTTCCTCCTGTTCCTTGAGAAAATTTTATACAAGTGGGGCCAGTAAAACTTATTTGTGACAGCCTATAATCATGATACTGCTCCAAAAGAAAAAGTAGAGGTATATGTTAATTGACTTATCTTATCAAATAAATGTCTTATGTAATATGACCAAACCACAGAAATCAAACATTTTATAGGTCCTTAGTGAAAGAACACTTTTGAACAAGGGAAAACAAATTCCTGTTGAATGCTTGTCAGATATCAAACCAGAGTCTCCAGTATAATCTACAGCTCTTAAAATTCAATTACCAATTACAGCTTGGCACCGCTAAATATTGTCCAGTACTACATGACATAGCCTGGTATTGCCAAGTAAGGTTATACCAGGCAATTTGTTAAACTGGTAATGGTAGCACAACTGAATTTCTAAGTCAAAGTGAAGAGAAAAAAAAACACTGACATGGCTTTAAGAAATAGCTAACAAGAAGGTCTGAAAAGGCTAGTGTGGTAAATAAACTTGTTTTGCCTTGAAATGAACCCAAGATTTCTGGACATGTTACAGGAATAATTGTTTAGGTTAATTCAGTGCATGCATGGTGGATGCATGTCTACCACTTTTATGACCATTTCAGTTTTGTCTCCAAAATGTGCATAATCACGGAAATGTCAATATCAGTAACAGTATAATAAATCTATATATTGACATTAAATTATCATTTTAGAGACAAATTTTCGATCTAACATAACTGTACAGGTGGTCAAAGCAATGGCATGACTAATACCCCGAGATCAGGAATTTATGTTTTTATGAATAAGATCTATCTACCTGGGTCTATTGCTGTTAATAAAAAAATGTTTGTCATCTTTTCAAGTCATTGAGTACTCCCATGTACCTCTCACACTGTTGGAATAATACACGATAATGGATCCAGACAAAGCTAGACAATCCCTAACTTTAGGAACGTTCATTAGGCCTATCGCCTAACGTGACAGGTACATTTATGGTAATAATGATAGACGCAGACCTAGGTATTTAGATTATAGGCGAAAAATAGGAGAAACTAATCAGATTATGGTCTGATTGTTAAAATCGTAACTATGTTTTCATTTTACCTATTTAGCATCCATTTTCTTTTACGAATGGAATTGTGGTTCAAATTTTCCCGGAACGAATTTTGATTGGACAAACTCCAATACGGAGATACCCGAAGAGATACGGATATAACTTTTATTTTATCTTTCAATTGAAAGTTTTTATTTTATTATTCATTGATTATGATGATGTATAAACAACATATTTATGAAGCAATTCAAACTTTCTATCGACAGAATTTTATCATTGTATTTTAAGACCTACTTTCGATTTATGAGCACGGACAAAATAAGTTATGCTTTTACTAGGTCAAAAATTAGGCTGTTATGAAAGCTGACAGGTAGACTTAAAAGCCTCCTGTGTGTTTTCTTTGTGGTTCATATCCTGGTAAGCTCCTGGACCAACGAATTCACTGTGAAGCACGGAATAAAATCAAAGCTGTGTAGCATTTGAAAAAGAACAAAAGCTGTGCACGCCTGGAGACTCTCCCAAATTGGATAAGACGTGCCTGCATGTATACGAAGTGCGTACGTGTATTTCCCATCCGATTGCTTAGGACCACCCCACTTTTTAAGAAAGTGAGTACTAGGGTCGGGGGACGAGATTGTGTTTTCCCTTATTATCCTGACCTTATTCATGTGATTTCGTTGTCTCGATGATTATACTTCATCGTTCTTTGTTATGAAACGGTAAATCACAGGCATGTGTGTAACATACTGATTCTGTTTTATTGTACAATAATAGAACAGCCCCCCATTGTGGGTCATGTTTTTACAGAATGATGGAACCTTATTTCACTTCAGGAAATGTCCAGCCCTTCATCGTCTAGTGACACCGAAGATTCAGTCGTGTCAGCAGCAAAGAAACCAAAGTTCACTGTCGTTGATGTAGATGGATGGCAAAAGAGATGGACAGAAAGAAAAATTGGATTTCACCAAGAAGCTGTTCATCCGTAAGTCTATGCCTTTTTAAATCAAATTCTGGAAATTATAATGTATATCTTCTCAGGCATTGTCACATTTTTTATTGTCTTGTAGAATGTAGAAAGTTCCATCTTTCAATTAAGTTAGATTCAAAAGTTACTGTATGTCAGTTGATTGTTATTATTTCATACATGTAATTGATCAAGTTATTTTTGAACTCCAGAGTAGGAATGTATTGACCCTTTCATACCTGAAGTGTAAAATGAACTTTTTCAAATGCAATGTCAGAAGAGTTTACATTAATTAGTTAGGGATGAAAGGTTTAATGCAGATTTTATATGCTGTCATAGCATTTCAAAGACATGAAAAATTAGTGTTTTTAGACAGCAATGTACAACACCCAAAACATTCTTTTTTTTATACTTTCCTTCCAATTTTAAATGTAGACTCTTCTGACATTTCATCTGAAAAAGTCCATTTTACACTTCAGGTATGAAAGGGTAAATAAATTCCCTACTCTGGAGAGCAAAAATATTTAACCAAATTTGGTTTGAAGCATACTTGAGTGAAGGATATCAGTTTTGTATAAACCATAGGTCTCCGCCCCTGGGGACTGAGGGGTCGGGCCTAATAGAGAAATTCAAGTACTTTCTCTCCTGTTCTTCAGTAGCTGCAGGATATTGTCCAAATTTGATCAGAAGCATGTTTGGGTGAAGGGGAATCAATTTGTATAAATGATGGATATCAGTCCCTGTGGGAGGGGTAGGGCTCTATAGAGGAAATTCTATGAAATCATTCTTATGTAGGAATGCCTTGATTCTGTGTCAGTTTAGACTGAAACATTCTTGGTCAAAAGAGAATCAGCATCATAGGAACAATGGGTTCCAGCCTCTTGGTTAAGAAAGGCAAAATAGTGGAAATAGAGCAGATTCTTTAAAATCTTTGGTCTGTTGGAACTGAAGACATCTTTAGTGAAGAGAACTTAGTGTTTTACAAACAGTGCATCAGGGTGAGATTATAACAGGGAAAAAGATGCAAGTGTTTTGAACGCTTTTCCTTTAGTTTACATTAATTAATTTCAGCAAAGTAAACTAGGTGAATAATAAAGGCCTGATGGGCCTCTTGTCTTTGTTTTAGTTACTGGGAGAAGTACATGGATAACATTCTAGACAACCGTGAAAACACCAACATTTTCTTCCCACTTTGTGGTAAATCAGTGGATATAAAATGGTGAGTAATTCTATTTGTTTGTTGGTTTTTCTGCCCCCTGAACAGCCAGGGTCATTTTGAGGTGGGGTCTGGTATAATTGGTGGCTACCTTAATGAACAACATGAGAGGCCCTTTGCATCCATCCAAAGCAATTAGGATACATTGCCACAACAAAGTCGTCACAGACTGATCTGTTTCTGAGAGTGATAATGTCTTTCAGATTGATCAGACTCAGAAACAAACTTGTAGTGCAGACTGACTCTCCTAAAACACAAACTGCCACAGATGGGTAGCATCAAACCCCATACTTGGATCTTCACTGGAGGTAACATCAGTTAACTGGCCATGTTGGCTGAGTGGTTAAGGGGTATGACTGTCTTTATCACTAGCCCTCCTCTGCTAGCTTGCAGATTGATGCCTGCTAGGGGAAGTCACCACTGGTTTTCCTCTGGAAACTTTGGCTGGACTCCACCACATGAACCTGGCACATCCTTATATGACCCTGGCTATTAACAGCCTATAAAGCAACAATTGATGTAGGCAATACTGAGCTATGACGGCCTAAAAAGAAGTTTAAAAATGACTTTCCTTCAGGTATTTTGGCTGTCACTGTTTCAATTACTTGGTAAGGTAATGCAAATCTTTATTCAGATCTGTTTTTTAAAAGAATTGAAACATCATTTACTAAAAACTTAATCTTATTATCTAATTTATATTTTTTGTTGTGAAATTACTTTAATTAATTTCTAATTTCACATATTTCATGCTAAATGTGCAACATTTGAGGAAAAATATATAATTTTGTAGTGGAAAAACAAAACAAAAAAAATGTGTTTATGAAAATTTTCATAATTTTGCCATGACTAAAATAATTATATTTATAATATATAATAATTATAATAATAAGATACAGTACTTTCTTGCAGGCTGTCTGACAAGGGACACAATGTTGTTGGAGTGGAATGCTCAGCTATGGCTCTTGAGGAATTCTTCGAGGAACAAAAAGTAGAGTATACAAAAGAAACTGCAGAGGAAGTCAAAGGATCTCTCTTTCAGGTAAAAATCTGAATTTATTAAACTGTTTAAACTTTAATTTCCCCACCCTTTCCTTACTGCAAAACAATTTCAAGGTTGTCTTTTCCTTTTTTTTTTAGCTCTCCTGGCACCTGTATCTTGCTGTCTGTTGCCTGTTAACTTTTTCTACAAAACGCTACTAGTCACAAATGACTCAATGGAATTTTACCAAATTTGGTCAAAAGCATTTGTACGGGAGAGGGAATATATTTTGTATAAATAGTGTGTCCAGGCCACCCAGGGATTGAGGGATGGGGCCAAAAAGGGGAAGTTTTACAAGTCCTTTAAAATCCTACTCCTCCTGTACAAATGACTGGATTTTGCCCAGATTTGGTCTGTAGCATGTTTTAGTGAAGGGATATCAGTTTGAAATAAATGATGGATCTTGGCTCCCCTAAGGCAGGAGGGGAGGGGCTCAACATAGGAAATGTGTTATATCTTTGAAATAGCTGAGATCCCCACCCCATAACCATATACATTGTATAGCAGTGACCAGCATCAAGAGATAAACAAATTCAGGATGTAAGAACTGGCTCCTGGGTGTGGTTTTACCCCTCTGGACTTAATTTCTGGGTTACAGCTTTGAAACCGTTCAGATCCCACATAACCATTTATAGCATTATCAGGCATCAAGAGATAACTCAATCATGATGTAAATATTGGCCATGGGGTGTGCCTCACCTGAAGGGACTTCGTTTCTGAGCGATATCTGTGAAACAGTTGAGATACCCACCCCATCACCATATATAGCAATGATGGACATCAAGATATAAACATGATCATGATGTGAGATTTGACCCTGGGGTCTGGCCACAGCCCTTGAGACATAATAAAGTAAATAATTCAAAATTTGAGACCATCATGAAAATATGACTGTCATTTCTTCATTTATGTCTTTATTTTTCTGTTGAAGAGCAAAGATGGAAAGATTAAACTATACTGCTGCGACATTTATGATTTCAACAAGTATGTACATAAGTACCTTAATATTTTATCAATATTTTTTGACATTCAGTTGTCAAGTTAAATGTTAAATTTGTTGAGATAAACATTTATATTTCTCTACTGTAAAATAAGATCCTTTTGTGATGCTTGAATTTTGTGGTTTTATTTTCAACAAATATTTATGCATGAATGTAGCAATATGATATGAAAAAGGAGTGGACATTTGAGAGCAGTGCCTGTTTATGTGATAAAATTGAAAAAAATGCTGTTACAAAAATATACATGTATTTCATTAAGTTGGCATTGACCACCTTTGATTGGTAAAAATAAAATTCCCACAAAAATGAATTATTTGACAGTATGCTTTGACAAGAAAAATTAAAACCTATCTTGTATGATTTGCCTATTCACAAATACCACCTTCAAGTTCTAAACTGAGGATTTTACACCAAAATTGTTTGCCAGACTGATGATGCTTTAACAGTCCTATATGTCCTTAATGTCCTCAAGTCTTCAGTCCATTTTTTTTTTTAATTTTATACTTTTTTTTTTTAATTTACTATTTTTTTCATATAGATTTTGAGCCTTTGCCAAGTGCTAAAAGTGCATATCAGTTTAACTGTCATTTGTTGACATATGGTTTTAAAAGTAGCAATAAAGTCCATGGAAATTAGCAATCCTACAAAAATTTATTGTTTTACAGTACCAGGTAAATGTGGAGAATATTTGAATATAAGAAATGACAATTACCTCTGTTGTCTTTCCTGCAGTGATGTACTCTAAATTTCTGGCCATACTGGTTTTTCTTCGAACATACATGTGATATATATCTTCTTAATCACAGAGACGTTGCTGGCCAGTTTGATGTTATTTGGGACCGAGCGTCATTGGTGGCCATCAATCGAAGTGACAGAGTAAAGTAAGTAACCCTTGTAGACCTACTTTAAGAGTGATAAATAAGTCAAAAATATAGATGAGAAAAGTGATTGGTCATTTACTCACATTCTGAAAGGGAATGGGTTAGTGACCCAAACCTCATAAAATATTTCTTATATAATGTTGAATTTGTGGTTGCAAGATTGTAGCATTGATTTTATAAAGAATGTTATTTTTAGATGGTTTATATTTTAATGTTTGTATCAAAACGATAATTTTTTCATGGTGATCATGATTAATTTGTTCCATCTCATTTTATTGTGTTAACTGCCAAAGACGACATACAGGTATTGCTATGTCAGCAGCAGTGTCCACACAAACGTTTTTTTAACGATAATTTGAGTTCACTTTGACCAATCAAGCTCAAACTTCACGCTGTTATTTCCTTACCGATATCAGAACTAGACCTTAGGTGTGTCCCCACCCCTATGGATTTGAGATCCACATGACTGATAAAAGCCTAATTGACCTCTTGTTTCATGATGTTATTTCACCCTCATTTGTAGCAAAAAATAAAACTCCTCAAAAATCACAATCTTTACAGTAACATGTGATGTTAATCAATGTGGCTGATGTCTACTCCTACAAATTTCATAATATAAATTGTATACAGTCCGATACTTATTTTTCCAGTAATAAGCACATGTCTGGTAATGATCCCCATTCATATACGTTTCTGTAAATTATTTACAAATACTTGTATGGATCTTGTGTGCTCATTCTCTGTCAAAGGTATTGTGCTGGCTCCCTGTGGACTTAATGGTACATAGATAGGTAAAATTTCCTCTTGACCAAAAACCTGCAGCCATGGACAATCTATATGTTTTAACATTTCCATGTTTGTCATATTTTTCTAAGGTATACTGATCTTCTGAAGGGTCTGATGAAACCAGAATGTTGTCTAGCACTGGTCACTCTTGAATATGATGAAACAAAATATGCTGGTAGGTATTTATAATAGGTAATAGAAATCATATTATTCTTTGAATTTAATCTGTGATTGAAGTGTAAAGAAATAGGTTGTGATGTTTGCCTTTGGTGAAGATGTTTTTCCAGAGTTATATCCCTTCCATTTTTATGAAATTATCAATTTCATTGGTTGTGGACTGGGGGTTTTGTGTATAGTGGCACATCTGGTTATTAGTGATAGGTATGTTTTAGTTGCCATATTGTTTATAATACCCAATACTAGGTCAAAGAACACAGTTTTCTCAAAACCTTAAGATAATGAGGATATAATGTGTTGCCACTACAGTAAAAGTGTAGATATTAGACGTTAAGTTATTTTTAGAAACAAGTGAACATTAGGCCTATTAAATGTTTTGATATTTTGAGATACAATATCTTATTAAAGTTATCTCCCCTTTTGTTTTCACAGGACCGCCACATAATGTCTCTGAGGACCAAGTGATGGAGCTGTATGGTAAGTAGACATTTACAAGATTCCTTAACCTTGCAGAATCTCCCAAAATGTTATCTTCCTACTTTGAGCAAGCTGAGAAATAGAATTTCTGGATCCCTATGCAACTGAAAGACAGAATGTATTACCTGGTGTGTGTATGTTATGTTACAGACAATTTTTGGTAAAAGTTGGCTGGCATGCAGACAGACAGACAGACAGACAGAAAGACACACATACACACCACACACACCACCACCACCAACACCACCACTACACACACACCACACCACTACACACACACACACACACACCACCACCACCGCCACCACCACTACACACACCACCACCACCACCACCACCACTACACACACACCACCACTACACACACACCATTACCACACAACACACCCATTCTACCACACACACACACCATCACCACCACACACATACAACCACACACACACATACACACACACACCCACCACCACCACACACACACCACCACCACCACCACACACACACACCACCACCACCACACACACCACCACCACCACACACCACCACCACCACACACACACACCACCACCACCACCACTACACACACCACCACCACCACCACACACACACACAAACCACCAACACCCCACACACACACACACACACCCACACACACACACACACACACACACACACACACACACACACCACTACCATTACCTCTCCCACACACACACATTCATTCAGAAAAGAACTCGTAAGGGAGTTTCAATCAAACTTTACATCCTGCTTAAGACCCATGATATCTTGAATGATCTTGACTGATATGAGTAAAAAATCTCCAGCCACTTGTCAGTACACTTGTGGTTTCATCCCATATGAGAACTAGACAAAACTTGATTGACTTTACCAATCTTTATTAGACATCAGGCAAGGTTAAACTGTGGGGCGATTCAGATGTATTTTTGTAGAGTTAAGGCTTTTCTTGGATTATAAAATTATGTATCAAGTCTATTTACTAGAGAAGTAACGCATAGATTAGATTTTAAAACTTTATTGCTACCATCTAGTTTGTGGCCAATAACTAGATAATATATTTGTATTTACAGAGTTATTGCCCTTTATGATTGAAAACTTCCACCACCCTGTGGTTTCTTATTTGATTTCTTCAACAAACATGTCTAAGAAACTGCCCTATGCACCAGCCTGAACACACCTTGTCAGATCATTAAACTGATGAATCACCACAAAATGATTTCTTAATAAACAATACAGAAACAGCTATTTGCATACTCATAGTTCAGCATGATGAATTTCACCTGAACAGTGTTAAATTTACAGTAGAAGAGCGGGTGATTAGTTCATATTTAAGTTGACATCAGTTTTTGTCTTTATTTCTTTCCTAAATTAACATTTTCCTCATATTCTTTCCAGACAAGACACACAGTGTGAAGTTGGTGGAAACATTGGATGGCTTGAAGGAGAGACACAAAAACTGGGGGATCAGTGCACTAGAGGAAAAACTTTATCTGATTAGAAAAATATAATTATTTTGTGTCCTTGACTCTGATTGATAGTGATTCATTAAAGAAAGGCTCTGAAAGCAATGTCTTTGTAAAGAGTTGCAAGAAATCAAGGAAAAAGTTCAAACATTCTAATCCAGAATTATTGGCTTATTTCAATAAGTCGTGGACAGGTTCAGATTGAAAACACAACTATATTACCAGTATATGGACAGATTTTGATCCAACATCCAGAGATTACAGTGGATAATTTCTAATGAAAGTTAATACTTCAGCAGGTCATGAAACACGTCTCAGGGTGACCTACTGAAATTCCCTTTTGTCTGGTGTCATGCGTCGTACTCTTCACTATATATCTATAGGTTTTGAGAAATACAAGCTATTCCATATATGTTTTAGGAAGTACTGGTCACTATATACAAGTTTTAGAAAAGTTGAGGAGAACTGAAGTAATCAGAAAGATGTCTTTTTTTATATCAATGTGATGCCTTAGAACTTTGATATCTTCACCTTAGGTTCAGCATAACATGGTAGAGATTTTATTATTCCAGCTGTTTGTTTACTACTATATACAGGAAGTAAAACATAGACATATATTTGTTTTCAATTGAATGCCAATTATATTTCACTCAAACAGCCAAGTATGTTTTATTGTTACAGTATTTTAAGGTACAGGATTTTATTTTCCACAGCTGCATTGTTCGAAATATGTTTTAGGTGTCATAAAAATATCTCAGGTGCATTATCCAGAAATGTGTTCCATGAATGTGTTGTTACTATATTACATATAAATTTCAATAAATAATTTGAATAATTAATGTTGCTTGTGGTTTTTTAGACCACTAGATGGTGGGCTGTGTAATCACTGTGTAATCATGTTCTGTTGTCTGTCCATTGTCAGCTCTTACACAAATCTTGTCATCATTATTATGAAGTACTCTATGGATCTTTCACAAAGTTCATGTTGTTTTCCTTTGTCCCATTTGGTGTTGATTTGATTTTGAATTTAATCAGAAATGCTAAATTTTGATGATAAAAGTTATTGCAATTGTTGGATGGATTTTTTATCAGTTTCATATAAAGGTTTACTTAAGGTTCAAGTAGTTTCCTCTTGATTTTCATTTTGATACTGGTCAGAAAAACAAAATGGCTAAACATTCCTCTTGGATTTTGGCAATGAAAGTTTGTTATGGTCGTTTTGTGCAAAGTAGTTTTTCAGATTTCGTGTGAAAGTTTGCCTTTGTCTGTAGTGGTGTCTATTCAGGTTTGACAAGCATCCATCTTTGATTTTGACAATTCATGTTGGGTTTTGCTTTTGGTTGAAAAGTAATGAACGGATTGCGCTAAAATTACATATGTATTTAGATATGTTGTCCTTGGATCCTTATAGCTGACAGAAAGTCATCTCTGGTCTTCACAGTGATGGTTTGTAGATAAACTAATGTCTACACAACAAAGAAAGAACAGAAAATGTCCAATTTACCTAAAACCGATAAAGATCATACACAATGACAATTTCAAAAAAATGAAAAATTGTCGACTGACCTTTCTCGAATTTCATATGTAGGTCTCTTTGCACCCTTGTATTGTATCGTCGATTGTGGGACTGATTAAAAAAATGGCTGATGGGCAGCAACATAAGACTTTGTCCAGAATCCCAAAGTAACCTCATCACCTGGCAATCAAAGTGATTTTCACAAGTGCATTTACATTTAACACCATTGGCCTTCAAAATGTGTCTAAATCTAATTAATTTATAACTAACTCTAAATACAAGCAAGTTGATAGCTTTCAAAGCTAAACATTTTTCTCTTGTTACTAGAAGGCAAAATGTCCTCCTATGACCTTAAATATGGGTTCAGTTCACTTCTCTATGCAATTTGTCAGAAAAAGACAAATTCGTCGCTCTAAGCTATTCATTTATTCAAGACAACATCAAGAAAATGCCAACATGTCAACATAATCACTAGGGCAATGTAGGAACAAAAGAAAGAATTATACGGAGACTCCTGATAAAGTACAACGAGAATAATACCAAGTGTTCCGGAAGAGTACGCGTCATGTAAACCTTGGTAATTCAAGTAAGTAATGTCACGTTCCCAAATGAGAGAAAGGTATACAACAAGAGAACCAACAGGCAAACTAGCCAGCACCAACCACGACCAGCTTCATGTCTTTTGGGCCCCTGTGTTACGAATTTGTCCATCTGTTGACGACTTCTTTACACGAAAGTCGTGATAATAGAAACAGACCCTTGAATACCGAATCAACTGTGACATGTAAATAACATACTTTGAGGATGCAAGGGTGCTGCTATCTGGAAATGGAAAATTCATAATAGAGAAATGGAAATCATCACGTTTATCATACATCTTGGTATAAAGTTGTCTGTCTTTGTTTCGTTGTCGAGATAAGCGGCTGGTGTAGAAGAGTCTGCCATGTCTTTGATTTTCAATTCTTGGGGAGACAATGAAAGTGATCCATAAATTTCTTGTTATTTAAAGATCAGACGTCATCAATATATCTGAAAGTGAAATCAAACTACTTTGCAAGGTCTTCGTGACCAGTTTTGATAAGCTCTTCGGTAAATTCAGCCTCGTATGAAAACAAAAACAAGTCAGCCAACAAAAGGATACAGTCAGTTGCCTATAGGTGTGCCAGTAGTCTGTTGGAAGATCTTACCGCCGGACTCGAATATAAACCAGAAACTCAATCATTCGTATGATTTCGTCCTCCGCATATTTCTCCTTTAATTTGGACGTTGTTGGTTGTTTTTTTTTTTTTTACGAAATACGCTTCAGTATAGCTAATGACCATATATTTGTATCGCCGTTCACCTTTCTTGGAGAAGAAAGCTATCATAACAAGAGAACAAACGAGTTGGTATACAGGTTGGAAAATCAAATCAACAAAGTTTTCACAATGTCACCTTGAATATGATTCTAGATCTTTTCATTAACCTGAAAAATTTGAGTGTTACAATAACTTACAAATTTTTTACCAACATTTTAATTGTAAATCAGACAGAATTAATGGAAAAGAGAATTTAATGGAGTTAATATTGTAATTATGAAGTGAGGATGTAAGTACTCTTGAATGTACAGTTTTCGTGTGTCCATGTTACAGTAAATATACAGAAGAAATCTCCGCTGTAAATGGTAAATATTTTGTTGTTTCTAACGATATCGTCTTATCCTGAATAGTCCCTACAAATTTTCTAAAGATTTATGGGGTTATTTACAAGCTTGCGTTTGTGTACATCCTACACTTAACTCTTACAGGCTATTACATCATGATCCTTTGAAATTTGATAAAAAATAGTATAGCTTTCTTTTTCAATTGATAACAAATGAGAGGACACATTTTGTGGGTTTTATTAGGACTTTCGTTCAGTATATAACGAGTACGTGCGATAATTCGTAATGACACAGTATGATATTTCGTCAGAAAATAGTTTGGTATTTTTGTCACCAAAACCAGGGGAAATGAAATGATATGTGGGACCACTAGCGGTACTAGGTAATACCAAAGTTAGAAATTTTGTTCTACTAGAGCAAGAAAAACATTCAGTTCTTTCAGCCTACTGTGTTACAAATAGTGAGTGGCCTGTTTGGGGGGAATGATACAAAATCAAAGACTGATGACCCCATTATCCTTTACAATGAAAATAGATACCAATGATGTTGGCAATTCTGAACGAAGTTTTGGGTCGAAATATTTATTTATCTGTAAGATTGCTAGCCCGTCTTAACTAAACAACTTCACTGTGAACGTTAATTCCTTTTATATCTAAAATTTGAAAAATGTTATAAATCCCGTGTATTTCTAATGAAAATATTACACCACAATATCTTAATGCCCAAGTCCACTGCATGTTGTTGATCCTCATTTATTATAATTCTTGGTTTCGTCCGTTGCTTCCAGTCAAACGTGAATTGGAACGTCAAATAAAAAAAAAAAACTTTACATGTTTGAATGCTTTAACTTAAACTTAAACTTTCAATAACTAACCAAAACACGTGTGGCCCTCGATAAAAATTATTACTTTCGTGTTAAAAAATAACGTCTCCTAGCATCAGAATTAATTTACAAAATTCCAACAAGTGGTCTAAAAAGGGGGAGCCTTTCTTACGCCTCATCAAAGCCATTCATTACAATGTTTAATTTAAAACACGTAACGAACTCACATATTTGTTTATCATCGTATGATATTGTATAATTAAAGCTCGCAGGTGTTTCACCAATATCTAAACAGGCGAGTAGTCACTCACCTGGGACACGCCACAGGGTTTATCCCCATGGCAACCAACAGGGTCAGCCCCGGCCTATCATTGTTCTGGCGAGGTCGACACCTGTCAAGTACAGTTACGTAATTAAAGAGGTCGGAGTTTGACCGTAAGCATGTTTACACACGGCCCTGCTCGAACTTGCATGTTTTGATTCTGGAAGGCCGCCATATTGGATGTCATTTTCATATTGTTTTTTTCTCTTCAAGCTGAATATTGTGCAACGTACTGCGAAGCGAGGTTGAGACTGTTGTGGAAACTCTACAGAATCATATCTGCAGGTTTGTGAATATTTCATAAAATTCCAGTGAAAGTATTTGTATGATTCCGAAAATATTAATATAGAGCGGACATTGGTCATAACCGAATTCAAAGACAAAGCCATCGTTTTTGAAAATCATGAATAATGAAAATGTTACGAATAATGCAGAACAGCTATTCACAGACATTTCAGGTTCTTCAGATTATAAAATCCGGGGGGTAGAGGGGGGACTTGGACTTTTTGATACTCGACTCCTGGACTCGTCTTTCCTACAAAATATGCTCATAAGATCATTTCTAGGAACATTGTGTGCAAATAAAATACTGCTAATAGCACACGTGGACTCCCAGCTCTCACGCTGACCATATGTTTTTTTTATATAATCCGATAAGTAAACAGTATTCCGAATGTATGTTATTAACAGCAATGTGAATAATTACGGGACAGATTACGTTAAAAACATTCTGATAAATAATAATGACAGCAGATGGTCATGTATGCTGTCTACAACAAGTTTGACAGTCGATTGGGGGCGGTAGACAGTATCATCGCTACTTTCTCCAGCGATATGATGGATTAATCAGGCTAATTGTGATTATCTCCCCTTCACCTCCCCCCCCCCCCCCCCCCCCCCCCCCTCTTCAGTACAGGGTGTATGTCAGCGACCAGTATTTCCAAATTTCCAAGTCCTTGTAGATATTTCTCAAATCGTTTACGGGTATTTCTGCGTGCTCTATTTACGACCTCTCAGCCATTTAATAAACACCCACGGGTAACTTGTTACGGACTTCTTTATCCATGCCCGTGGTACTTTTTATCATGATTTATGTGTAATTGGCTACCACGCGCAATTTGTAGATCAAGCGCCGGGCTATTTTACTTTGGGCATTTTTTTTATATTTTCCGTATAGAATATTTATGAAATGGGTCTGAAATAAATAAGAATGTGTTGCAAACAAAGAAGGAAACACTTGTCACATAAATAAGTTGATTACGTTATATGGTAGCATGTGACCATCATTGCTGATATTTGTGACGTCATGTCAATACTATTACTATTGACGTCATGAACCATCACGCTATCGTAATCTAATTGTGTTCTTGGCAAAGAAATATCACCCGTATGTTCTGCGTGATGGCCACCAGTTAGTACTACAAGCATGAAACTCTGCCTCAAAATGACACTCGCTCTTCACGGGGCATTAAACCCAACAAACAAGTATACGTTTCCACACCCAGCAACATTTAGGATCTTCACATTTTCCATGTTTGAAAAATAATTTTCTTCGGCTGTTGCAGTCTCTTGAGTTTGTGAGGAACCAAAATATACCATTTAGTGCTCTACAGAAATCTATGAAATGCATGCCTGATTTAGGGGAAGTATCCATGTTTCTACCTACAAAAAATAAGTGTCGATAGCATAGAAATAGGGACAGTCTGGAAACCTTACAGGGCATTTAGAACTATAGATATATATTTGTTTTATTTTCAGTGTTCGGTATACTATTGTCATGGAGCAAACCTATGACGTTTCGCCCCAGGCCCTGGACAAAATCCAGAAAATAGCCCGAGCTGAAATGTATGGCAGGACGCAAATACTGAAATTAGACAATAGACTCAGAGAGATTGACCAACGTATCCGAAAGTATGAGGATCACAAGCCATACAAACACGTGCTGAAACAGAGGCGGAAAGTGACCGCAGGCGTCAGGAACATGTTTGCCAAGTACGTTCAGAGAAAGTCCATTCAGGCAACAAAACTGGTCATACAGAACTTCGCGGAGACAATGCTGACGCGTCATTGGACAAGACCAACGCCATCTGGTGACAGAGCTCTAGCTACACCAAGTGTTGGAACACTGACGACATCTAGTAACGAACTTTCAGCGAGATCTCGAGACGAGACATGGACACAGACGAGAGAACATTTACCAGAAAGTGACCCACACTGAGAAAAAAAGTCCATGAATTGCATCCTGTAATTGTAATCAGATGCGCAATGTCAGGACATCATCGTCTGAGTTGGAGCGCCCACAAGTAATTGTCCAGACGGACTACAAATAGCTATGCCCATGACTTTAAATGATGTCCTGCATGTTGAGAATGAAATCATATTCGACGTAAGCGAATAATTGATAATCGATTATTCTACGGTCACGTGAATACATTGCACATCATAGCCTCGGCAGATTCCGATCACTTCGAGATCAGCCGAATTGTGCCGAGTAATGTCCAACTGAAGAACTGCAATACAACCTGAGCGAGGCTAATGTTTATTTGTTTCAGTTAAAAAAAATTGATGTAAATTATTTATCTTAACAAAATATGTTTTAATCCAGTTGATTTTTTTTTCAATTGTTTATACTATTTATTTTGTTATTGTTGGTGTTGATATTATTAACAGATAATTTATTAAAAGAAAACTTGGCAGGTGTTGCTCAATGAATCTCATTTAATAAATAATTTCCAAACTGACAAGTATCGCTGTTTTCATGCTTAACGATCATGATGGCTGGAACCGATAGAATTTTGTATATTACTCTGAAAATAATATATGAAATAATTAGAACGACATATTGTATTTTGATGGGTTGACGAGTTTTGTAAAATGTCAGTATCCAAGATTAAGGGTTTTCCATCCTTTTTCCAAACTAGATAATTCTGTGAAAGGAATAAAAGACAACATATGTGTTGATACTGATCCCACTGAATTTGGTTAAGTAGGGTTATTGCCCTTTGTGTACTCAAATCAAACCAAGCCTGTCCAAGCTTGCCGCAAAGACTGACGTTACACTCAGATCCAGAGTTTTTCTGCTTTACGTCATTACGGCCCTTAACTTACTTATCTCCCTTGATGAACTACTATAAATTATGGATCGTGGTGGCGTAAAGGGAAATAACTCCAGTAACATCTGATCCTTTCACCATTGATAATCTGTGTTTTACAAAGAAATTATTCACTATGTTTTTATTAATGTTGTAATTGTTATGAAAACAGTAGAAATATGAGATAAACCAAACATTTTTACATAACAAATATCCTAATCGTTCTCTGTCTGTCTTGTAAATAAAAAGGGTCCAGGTAGTTATCATTAGGTATACATATACATTGATATTAGGTATGAAACAAATTGTAATACTGTCATTATTTCATGAATCCGGATTTTCAACTCCAAAAATTCGTTCGAAAATTGTGTCTGGCCTGATTAATTTCAACCGTATATATACACGTCAATCCCAAGTCATCATTACAGAATATTCGTCACTATCGTAATCTGTTGGGTGTTTTCGATCATTTCGTTTAATGTAACGTTCATACAGAAGTTTGGTGGAGACTACGGCACCGCATACCAGCGCAACAACGAGGATAACCACAGCGACGATCACTGATGTTGATGTTGTCGTTTCATTAGATTTATCTGGAACGGAATAAAAAAAAATGCGTTAGGAATTTAGATGGAGTGACTAGAATTCCGACGAATGTAACAAGAACTTATCATCACATCTTACTTATCAGTACCTTATATTCTATAAGGATTATATTTTTCAGAGCTATATTCCTATTTTGAAACATTACGTATACAGCAGGGAGTATATAAATGTTGTTCACTTTCATTTTCTTTTTTAAGACTGTTATACACACCGGATTTAACAGAATGTCGTGTGTAATTTTTCTGGTCTTTTGTTAATCCCTCCAGATCCGTGAAAGTTGTGTTAGGGACCTTTCCAGGTTCAAAACGGTTTTCTATCCCTACTTCCAATTCCATTTCCTCAGAAATATCCCCGAAAGCACTTCCTTCGATTACGGTCACGTGATCACTGGAATCAGCCAATAGAAAGCCCTCTTCTTGTAATAGTTTGGCGTTGATTGGTCCATTGTATGTGCCTCCGAAATGAATGAAGGAGAGAAGAAGCTATTGATGAGGAGACAATATGTGACAATGCTGATGTAAATTATTGTCATACTTAGCGAAAAAATCAAATTAAAACAAAAACAGAGAGGTACACCTGGAAAATGAAAACGTGTTGGCTACAGTTCCAAGCTGACAACTGTGGTGTAAAAACGCAACGTCTTAAACAACAAATGATGGTGATGCTGGTAAAGTATGAAAACTGCATTTGTTTATTGTTTGTGTTTTGTTGTCCTTAGTGATAACTTACGGATTGTGCAATCTCGTCTTTTATTCTGTATTTCTAGGGTATTGTCATGAGGAATCAAAAATTGCAAAAAACAGATCCCGAATATGTAAGTGGAGTCTGAGGATAGCAGTACGGAAAGTCATAAAATGGAAGTAAGTGAAATTTTAGTTTATCTGTTTAAATAAACAATGTACACCATCGTAATTGTAAGATATTGCAGTTGAAAAACTTATAGTGGATCCGATGTCTTCTTGGAATGCCGTGTATAAAAATAAAACCAACAAAATCAACATAAGACAGGAATCATCATCCAAACTCAAACCAAAACACAAGCCTCTCCCCCGCCCCGCCCCCGCCTCTCCCCCGCCCCGCCCCCCGCCCCTCCCGAAAAAAAACCATAAATATCCAGGACAAAAAAAACATTATACAAAAGCGAGATTAACCATTAAGCGACGACATCCGCCATGTCAATCTTGATCAATCCAATTAAATATACAATGTATACATCAACGGAACCAACAGACAAACTAATGATCATCAAACACGTCCAGCTTCATATCACACAATGGAACCAACAGACAAACTAATGATCATCAAACACGTCCAGTTTCATATCGCACAATGGAACCAACAGACAAACTAATGATCATCAAACACGTCCAGCTTCATATCGTACAATGGAACCAACAGACAAACTAACGAACATCAAACACGTCCAGCTTCATATCACAAATCGGAACCAACAGATAAACTAACGAACATCAAACACGTCCAGCTTCATATCGTACAATGGAACCAACAGACAAACTAACGAACATCAAACACGTCCAGCTTCATATCGTACAATGGAACCAACAGACAAACTAATGATCATCAAACACGCCCAGTTTCATATCGCACAATGGAACCAACAGAAAAACTAACGAACATCAAACACGTCCAGCTTCATATCGTACAATGGAACCAACAGACAAACTAGTGAGCATCAAACACGCCCAGCTTCATATCGCACAACGGAACCAACAGACAAACTAGTGAGCATCAAACACGCCCAGCTTCATATCGCACAACGGAACCAACAGACAAACTAGTGAGCATCAAACACGCCCAGCTTCATATCGCACAACGGAACCAACAGACAAACTAGTGAGCATCAAACACGTCCAGCTTCATATCGTACAATGGAACCAACAGACAAACTAGTGATCATCAAACACGTCCAGCTTCATATCGTACAATGGAACCAACAGACAAACTAGTGAGCATCAAACACGCCCAGCTTCATATCGTACAATGGAACCAACAGACAAACTAGTGAGCATCAAACACGCCCAGCTTCATATCGTACAATGGAACCAACAGACAAACTAGTGATCATCAAACACGTCCAGCTTCATATCGTACAATGGAACCAACAGACAAACTAACGAGCATCAAACACGTCCAGCTTCATATCACACAACGGAACCAACAGACAGCATAACGAGCATCAAACACGTCCAGCTTCATATCACACAATGGAACCAACAGACAGCCTAACGAGCATCAAAAACGTCCAGCTTCATACCACACAACGGAACCAACAGACAAACTAGTGAGCATCAAACACGCCCAGCTTCATATCGTACAATGGAACCAACAGACAAACTAGTGAGCATCAAACACGTCCAGCTTCATATCACACAACGGAACCAACAGACAAACTAATGAGCATCAAACACGCCCAGCTTCATATCGCACGAAGAACTAGAATATTTTCAATGAGATCAGTATGATAGCCGCAAAACTTGATTTGCATCAACCTACACTTGTCTATCAGTTTCCGACATCTTGCACGAAAATCATGATATTGGGAACATGTACTTGACTGTTGAATCAACGGCGATGTTTAAACAATGCAAACTCACAACAGGGAAATTGAAATAATCACGATTATATCATACCACTTGGTGAAGCTATCCATGTTTGTTTGTGATAGGAAAAGGCCGAGAGAGCCGACTGATGTAGAAGAGTCTGTCGTGTCCTTGTCTGGTTTCATAAATCCTCCTTTATTTTGGGGATGGAGTGTTCGTTTTATTCATATAATGGAGATTAGATCATGAATTTTGGTTTTAACGAAATTCAACAAATAACCGAGACCTGCACAATTTTGCTTGATACAGTCCCTCACATTGTCTTAGCCAATCAAAACGCCCTTTGATGACGTAGAAGCTCCGAATGCTTTCCAGTGAAGTTGTCGATAGATTCGGGTCAGTATGTACGTCGATGCATATGGAAAGGATGTATTATCTGTCTAAGGTGGTATTTATATTGATCCCATGTGTAAATACATGAAATTCGTAATGTCTACCTCTGAATCGTTCCCGTGCAAAAGACTGGTGGAAGATCTTACCACCAAACTCGATGTTATCAACCAAAAACTATCATTTTCATGATTTTGTCGTTCATCTTTTGACATATTTTTCTTTTCCACAAAATATGCCGCAGTATATCCCAACAAAAAACGCCATGATAATCTTTTAAAAAATGTCTCTGGATAAATTCACATCTAACAAGATCAGGTGTTCATGAAGGGAAAGCGTCCTTAACATCGAAACCATCATGCATGTCAGTATTTATGTCCATTTTTACAAACATTGTCTGTCATTTATTTACTGCAGTCGCGTTTTAAAACTACAACCGTGGATTGGAACTGTAGCCGACTCAATCATTTACCAGTGTGTTCACTGACTGGCATGTAAAACTACATCAGTAGTAAAGTTAAGTAGAATATTTCCATGTAATGACGATGCCGACATTCAGATCTACATTAGGAGAAAGCTGCGTTAACACACACTAAAATAATTCTATATTTACACTAAGAGAATGTTACATCTGTATTTACACTGAGAGAAAGCGGTGTTAACACACACAAAGGTAGTTCTATACTTACACTAAGAGGATGTTACATCTGCATTTACACTAAGAGAAAGCGGTGTTAACACACACTAAGGTAATTCTATACTTCCACTAAGGGGGTGTTACATCTATATTTACACTAAGAGGGTCTTACATCTATATTTACACTAAGAGAAAGCTGTGTTAACACACACTAAGGTAATTCTATACTTACACTAAGAGGATGTTACATCTGTATTTACACTAAGAGGATGTTACATATATATTTACACTAAGAGGATGTTACATCTATATTTACACTAAGAGGATGTTACATCTATATTTACACTAAGAGGGTGTTACATCTGTATTTACACTAAGAGGATGTTACATCTATATTTACACTAAGAGGATGTTACATCTATATTTACACTAAGAGGGTGTTACATCTATATTTACACTAAGAGGATGTTACATCTATATTTGCACTAAGAGAAAGCTGTGTTAACACACACTAAGGTAATTCTATACTTACACTAAGAGGATGTTACATCTATATTTGCACTAAGAGAAAGCTGTGTTAACACACACTAAGGTAATTCTATACTTACACTAAGAGGATGTTACATCTATATTTACACTAAGAGGATGTTACATCTATATTTACACTAAGAGGATGTTACATCTATACTTACACAAAGAGAAAGCTGTGTTAACACACACTAAAATAATTCTATATTTACACTAAGAGGGTGTTACATCTATATTTACACTAAGAGGATGTTACATCTATACTTACACAAAGAGAAAGCTGTGTTAACACACACTAAAATAATTCTATATTTACACTAAGAGGATGTTACATCTATACTTACACAAAGAGAAAGTTGTGTTAACACACATTAAAGTAAGTCGATATTTACACAAAGAGAAAGCTGCGTTAACACACACTAAGGTAATTCTATATTTACACTAAGAGGGTGTTACTTCTATATTTACACTAAGAGAAAGCTGCGTTAACACACACTAAGGTAAGTATATACTTACACTGAGAGATATCATACACGTGACTTCATGTTGAAACATCTATACAGCTGTCCTGTTATTCCAAGCAGACAAGCGGTCTGAAATACGCCCAGAATGAGTCATCATCATTACAATCATACTTTCAAATTCAGAGCTAATTGAATCACACAGATTTACAATTTTGATCCTTCCCTTGACATTAACGTATAAAAAACTATATACAAGATTTATATTGTATTACACATACACGATACCTGCATATCACACACTAATGTCATTCTAATGCACCCGACTATTTCTCTTGGTCATTTTCGAGAAGTCGATTTGTTCTTACGTTTCATTTTTCACTGACCTTGACCTCCTGACCTTTCTCATATACTTGACTTTCCCTACCTGTCTCGTGTTCTTGCCTTTGTTTCCAGACTTTTTCAACATAAAAAATCTGAAATAACCTGTCAGCTTCAGGATGTCTCTTTACGTCCGGGCATTTTTGTTTCCGGTATCTACTTCCTTGACAAATATTTTCCCTTTAACTTAGCAACATTATCACATTTATCCGCCTGTAAGCCCATGCCTAGTAACTAGCCCATTCACAATTATTGCTGCTCAGAGGCAATTCCAAGCAAAAATGATTCCATTGATCTATAATAAGTCCACCCCTGACCAAAAAAATCAGTGGCGATTTGTTGACTGCCTGGGCTTATTTCCGGAGATAAAGAGTTAATAACCAATGTTTCTCAAGTCCTCCATATTTCAAACCAAATGACAACTTGTCATCTCTGATGAAGAATGTCTTGATTTTATCGTATAATGACAGTCTTTTCAATCAGTTAGCGACAGATATGTTTAAAATACGAATACATCATTACTGATCTCATGTTTCCTGATTATGTACAATGTGTGTATACAGGGAACTATCGCTACCAATTAACATAACATTTACATATGTAAATAACGCAGCTGATTTCACTAGTCCATTCACCACGGTATAGTACAGGTCTGTAGTGCGTATTTAGGTGTAACATGAAATGCACACGCATTTCAATATTGTAACTATTATGAATAATTAAATTAAAAACAAGTTTTCTGGACAATTCAGATTTAAAGATGAAAAAGTATTCAAACTATACAAGAAATGTATGAACCTACCAGATCGTCATGTAGTTGTCCCAATGATTCGGTGTAAGCAGGCTGTTAACTGGTAACAGGTAAGTGTAAATGACAGACGTATATGCTAATGAGACAAATGATTAATTGAATCATTGCAGACGTCTATGATTAACATTTTGATGGCTGCACTAAGTTCAAGTTCTCCTTCATTGTTCATAATAAATTCCCCCGTGAAGATTTGCTCTTTTTGAATGTAATATATTAACTATTTTTTAAAATTTACATAATAATGAAAGGACATTGGCAGATAATACAGGAGATACGAGACAATGAAGTTCATGTACCTTGCCGATATTCTCAGTGCGAAACAAATGTCAAAGAAGAAAAAATATAAAGATGAAGTTCATGTATCTTTCCGATATTCTCAGTGCAAAACAAATGTCAAAGATAAAGATGTCATCCCGTAAAATGTTGTATTTCTTTTTACTAAAATGTCGGTTTTATTTTTAAAAGAAAAACATTTTTTTTGCGAATTTGATTTTGATTTCATCAGGAAACTGAGATCATGACTGCCCTGGGCTGTTGTGTCTAGGCCCATTATTTTGCCCCAATTGGACGGTATGTGATGGGCCTCCCGTATTTTGTTCAGTAAGTTGGCCATCAACTGCTATAAAATATTCCTGTTAAGTGGTGATACTGTCTAGGTGACAACTGATGTCTTAGAAACGATTTTAGATGTCCTTTAAAAGCAACACCCAAAAAAAGAAAATAACACATATATCACATTTCTGATTTTATTACAAAATATTTTTGATGCAAAAGTGCACCAACTGGTACAACATATAAAATGTTACAACAATTTTGGAACAAACTATAGGGAAGGGGAGAGCAGCATTGTACAAGATTTGGTAAGTCAACTTGCCCTCAACCTTTCATCAATCATGGTTAATATTCTATTAAATTTTGACAACTTTGGGTGAAAAATGAAATTTGAATGGTAATGACAAATGGGGTGCCATAATAGTTTATAATAAAATTGGCCAACATTCAGCCCCTGAAATTACACACAGGTAAAGGAACACAAAATTGATTTGAAAAAGACATTAAATCCAAATAGCATTACATGCTAAGGGGAAACAACTCTGTAAAACAAGAGGCCCAATGGCCCTATATTGCTCACCTGGATCGTAATGCCCAGATATGGTATACTTGCCTAAAAGATGGTTATTTCTAATATTTCTAAATAACAGCTCCATCACTTCATCTGTTTCCTAAGGCAAGACCAATGGGTGAATACTTATATCATAACTGTCTCTTTTTATGTCCAGCAAGAACTTCCATGGTGGGATCTCAAACCTTTTTAAGATTATGACTCAGAAACATTTTCTTGTGGGGTGGGGCCAAACCTTAGAGCGAATCTTCCATCACTAGAAACTTTCAGACCCATTCTTGGCAAGGCCCCAAGGCCCTGGAGGAGCCAGGACACACCTTTGATACAAAATATTATCATCTTCCCTAAAGGATGATTCTAAACAAGTTTGGTCAAAATCCCCTCAGTCATTCATGACTAGTAGCATTTTGTTGAAACAGTTGACAGACAACAGACACCACAGTATCCCTATTGCTCACTTGGCCCTTTGGGCCAGTTGAGCCAAGAACCTTTTGTATGGCCTAGAGTTTCTAAAATTCCTCAGAATAATTACCATGCATGGTCCCTAAATTAAAATGGACAGAATGAAATTTTCCATCAGGTGATACAAAGGTATTCTGATCTTAATGTATACACTACATCAAATCAACTTCATAGGGAACTGTAATAGTTGAACTAATTACAAAAAATATCTTTATATTTTATTAGAGGCCGTTTCAAATATCTTCATAAATAAAATTGATTTAATAACACCTAGATTCCCCTCTAGTATACTCTATCTGCATAATAATGCATATATATAGGACATTCTATAATTATAGAATATGAAAACATTGTTTAAATACAATGAAATAGCACTATAAATCTTTTTATGATATATATTTCTAATGTCTTCAAATCAGACTTGCGTGTCTTGTCAGTTTTACTGAGCATCCATATCTTAAATGTGATGATCAGTTTCACATGAAAAATATTTACTAGTAAACTACTGTAATTACTGTGGATCAATTTACTTCTACAGTTCAGAAAAAATTTCATGGACCTACAGTATCTAAACTAAATATGGTTTTTATAGTAGGAAGATCTTTATACAAAGTATACAAGTTACACCTTCCTGTAGACAATAACAAACCAGGCTTGGTGTCAACTTGTCACATTAAGGTTTAATATAGTGGTGCATCTATGTCAACACATGACCAGCCAAAGGTACATGCATATAATTAAAGAAGACAAGCAAGGAATAAGGGCGGATGGGATATGGGCAGTTACTGTAGGGTTTTGAGGAGGTGGGATGGCGATAGAAACCTTGGGTAGGAATCTGGATATTTCTAATTTTTCCTATCTCTCTACCCCTCACATTCCCCCCTCAGAAATGCTCTAGTCATTTGTTTTCGTCTGTTCACACATATTTCAAAAATCTCCAAAACCACATGACATGCACAACATCTCTAAATTCCATGTACCAGGCATTTGTGCCATTGGATGCTTGGGATAGCAACAGCAATTTCAAAGTGGAGACAGACATGTGATCACTGAGGAAAATTTAGGGGAGTGTATGGTGTGAGGGGAAGAGAGTCCTAATAAAAACTGGGGAGGTGAGAGGTCATAACAGAAGGACCAGAAGGGGGTGTGTAGAGGGGGAGAAAGGGTCATAAAGGAAGAACCAGAAGGGGGTGTGGAGAGGGGGAGAAGGGGTCATAAAAGGACCAGGAGGGTGTGGAGGAATGGGAGATGAGGGAGTTGTAATGAAGAAGAGGGAGGGGAGCTAGATTTACTAAAGAAATGGGTCATAATACAGGAACATGGAGTTGGGTGGGATTAGAGATTAATGAAATTCTCATAATAATAAATATGAAGCTGAAATCTGATGGCCAAAATTTACAAAACTTTCAAACTGAGGTAGTCCAAACTGAACATTTCACATATGACATAATCTACATACACATGTTAAGTGTTGATCATATACATAATTAAAACATAATGGGGATTAATGTGGCAGGGGGGTCATACCCACACATGTACATATATACACAAATATAGAATAAACAGGGTTGGTGAGGAGAGAGATAGGGGGCTCATATACCACACCTGTGAGGACAACGTCACACAGGTTACATAAAGAACAAACAAAACAGACAAAACACAAATGGAACTAAGACAAGACCATTAACATACATAGCAAACCTCAATATAATGCCACTCATTTCATTTTCTACCATATGGTCCCTATATATATCCCCCTAGATATTGCCTAACCTATTCATAATGCCAGTTATTCTGAAATGGTGACAGTGTAACAAGGTTTTTACTGTAAGAAAACTTTTTATCTGATTTATCAACAAAGGTTGAAATGCAACATTATCCTTTTAAAATAAAGATTTGTCCTTAAAAGTATTCCCCCTCCCCACATGTAATTTAGACTTGCTACTTTATATCTGTAGTCTAAGTTTACATGCACATTCAGAACACAAATAGCAGTTACATGCACAGCATACCACAGTCAGAAAATGTCATTCAAGCTTAAAAATTTAAAGCTATACAGTTAAAAAAAATCATAGAAATAGCAAACTTAAATTTCTAAAAATGAATAAAAATAATTTCTTCTGATCAGCTCATTACAACAATCCTATCACATCACAATGAAACAACCAACAAGAATTTCCTCTGGACAACAAATGCATAGAGAGACATTGACAAGTTGTAGACATAATGAGCTTAATTTCTTCACATAAATTTTTAAAAACCTATTTCTTAAAATATAAGAAATTAAAAATATTGCTTTGGATTATAAAATAACTTTACACCAGCAAATCACTTATGTAGTAGGAGTACAATTTTACAACTGCAAAAGCTTTTTATAGTAACAGTCAAGGTTATTTTTACTATGTCAGCAATAAGCAAGTTATGTTAAAACTATCCATTAAAAAAACCACAGTACTTCTTGCATTGTTGCAACAAACAGAATCCTACATTTGTAATTTGGTAAAAATTATTTTCCCATAATTTAGAGACCTGCTCCCGAGGAATTTGTACAAATTTAATTACCATAAATACGTTAATCTTTGATAACATGATTTCTTTACAATTCCAGAAAAATTCTTTCATTAAGTTTTGAATTCTTCTTTTATCAATTAACACTAGTTTTAATCTAAAATGAATAGAAATAAAAAGTTAACGTCTGTGTAAACTTTTCGTAAAATATCTATAGATATGTTAATAATAAAACTTGTTTTAAATCAATCACATGTCTATGGATAAACCGTCCTTGGTAGCAAGATCACTTAGCAGAAAAAGAAGTTAATTTGTAAGCAGCATTTTGGCAGTCAGTGGATTAATTTCGTTTCTTTAAATTTTTAAAACATAAGACGGTTATACAAAATGAGTCATATAGTGGCCTACTGGAACTTGTCACACCTAGCAGTTTGAAGTATCACAAGTTCAGGCACGATGAAAGAAAAGCCTAGATGTTTGATGATCCATTTAACATGTAAAACCAAACAATTGCACAGAGAAATAGATTTGCATACATAGACACAGAGCAGGGAGACACAAGGAAATGTCGCCAGCAACTTGCATAAATATATTCAGCAGTTTAATTCTACAAACAAAGGGAAAGCAACTCCGTCAAAATTGATTGCTTTCTCCTATATTCTTATATCTATATCACAAATTTATCGATACGAACACCCCAACCCTTCCAAAACATAAAAGCTTGCTCTGAAAAAAATAAAAGACAAAAGAAGCTGTTTCTTCACATGTACTTGTGTAGGTTCATAATTACTTCAAAATTCAACTGAATTTCCAAGTGATATTTATAGCATTTTTTCAACTAGGTGAATGGCAATAAGTTGAACATAGCACTATTGAATAAATTTCATATAAAATAAATATTAACTGAATCTTGGTAACTCAGATATTGATAAAAAACAATTTTAAAAAAGCTAAAAATTTGATAATCAATGTAGAAATCCATAAAGGGAGATAATTCTATGCTTTACATGGCATTGAATATATCAAGCAAAAAGTTTTTACAACCTTTGGTTAAGATGGAACAACCTATTGTATTTGTAGAAGATGCAAACATTAAGAAGCATGTTCATATGCCTGGTTAATTATACAAATAAACAAAAAAACAAATAACATAAAAGATATAACGACCCCTATGTTTTTATCCTTATCAACCCACATGGCAGAATTTTCTCTTAAAATCCTTTCGATGCATATTTTTGAAGGTTTTGCAAGAATTTCATTTCTGTTGCATTTGGATAATGTTGCACAAGGGAGAATATATATATATATAATTACATACAATTTTTCATGTAACGATTTTTCTGCCATTTCATTCAACAGTACATGTATATATAGTGTACACACCAATATGCCCAGATAACAAATTTTTTCCTGAGATCCTTTTCTATTTGACCTTTGTCCCAGAGACAGGGGCACATTTTCACTGTCCTTTGCTGCTATTAAGCCATATTTTGTATTAAATCAAGACTTTTGGTCCGAAGGACATTTTCACAAATTTACAACCTAAATGTCAACAGCGATGAGCCCTGGCACAAATCACAAAGTCATATTAATTTTGTATGTGAAAATGTTTGATTTCAAATCAACACACAAAACCTTTAAAATCATGGCTGGAGCAGTTGGTTCCAATAATTATGAACTCCACATGAACTGAAAAATACTTTTAGGCTTATCAAAGTTTTCGCTAAAGCCTTTCAAAAAACAGATCATCATGTTCTCTTCCAGCATATTCCTGGCATGAATCACACCAAATCTCCTCTGACGCACTATCAACTTCACCTGGGTCATCAGTCCAGGTAACACAGCTCGTTGTTAAAACAGCTATCAGACGTCGGGGCAAGGAAAATACTTGGATGATGATACAAAGACGTGAATACTGTTGCACAATCCACATAGGTGATTCTCACAACTATCGGTAATACAAATGATCCACCATAAAGTTTTTCCACAACACGTGAGATTCTATCAGAACATATCATTTCCCCAATTTAGTCTTCCCAATACATTTTTCTGTAGAAAGATTTCCACAGGAATATGGGCACATGGAGATTTGATTCACCACAAAATGAAACACAATGATTCAATTGTACTTTTGCTGGCCTTGATAAATTAACTTAAATAATGAAATAATAGATTAAATGAGACTGATTTTCAGTGTGTGTCCACCATATGTACTTGTACATTGGCTATGATGTTGTTGGGTAACTCCGGTATGGGTGTATTAATGATCGTCTGTGGTATGCACGTTTGCTCGGGTATGGACTGGTGACATCCCGACAGTCTTGTTAAGGGTGGAGTCGGGCTTCGACTCCGTCTATAGTTACTAGGGGGAGGGGGTAATATAGGATTTTTGGCTACCACTGAATAAGGTCCAGGCCTATAACGGTCTTTGCCAATGATAAGAGGTTCGAGGCAGGGAAGACTTGCATGTTCACTGTCCTCATGTGGAGTCATCGTACTATAACCATGGTCACTATCCCCACCAGCAGGCCGGCGATAAGATGTATTCACACGATATGGCGACACACTCGCTGCATTGTCAAAAGTTGCTAACACAAAGTTTGTATGACCTAAAACAATGGAAAAAACACATTAAGAGACTGAAATAAAAATGAAAAAAATTCCATTTTTGTTTCATACATCTTTTATGAAGTCAGAACTGAAAAAATATCAAATTCAGTTTTCGATAAACATTTTATGTGAAATATGTGAAATTCTTAAGTTTTCCCTCCAACATCATCTGCTCTTCAATCTTCCAATTTTACTTATTTTTTTATTTTCAATTTTTCTAGTATGAATAGAAAACAGTACTTAACACAGATTTTTTAGTAAAACTTTGAAACAACGTGACATAATTTTCAAGAAAGGAATGTAATGGACAATATTGGTCTTTACAGATTTCATTATTGAATATAGCGAAAATTAGAAACCCTCGAAAATAACAACTCTGACATCAGGAAACAAACTGTTTTACCACTTTTAAAAGAAAACAAGCCAAACATCTATCTGAAATTATACAATTTCCCATATATTGGTCATTTTGTTTGATTTTTTCATCTTTTACAGTAACTATCTCTTTCAAAATATATCTATGTTAATCTTATTTCCCTGCAACCCCCTATATCTGTTGTTTTTACTAACCCATTTATGTATATGTGTGTTTTACTGATAAGAGAACCATGTGTTAGATAAGCTTTGGCTTAACATGTATTTATCCTAAAAATAAAGATAATCATAAAAATCAAATAATAACAACATCATTTCATGGATACAGTGTGTATAGGAACATACGTTGCAGTATTCTGTGAAGAACATATCATCCACAATGAAAAGATGATGTTATCGATTATCCTTTCAATTACAGGCAAATATTCGAACACATTTTTAGATATTGTGATGTTGAAATTAAATCTAAAACCTGACCTGAGCCTGGGTCATCTGTAGGCTCCACCTCCTCAGCCTCGTAGTATTGCGACATGCGATTAGGGTTGTCTGGGAGACTGGTGATGTACTGGTGGGAGTCGCGATGAATATGATGTCGGTAGCAATACACACCGAGGGCCAACACCAGAAAACATCCCATTATACCTCCTGCCACAGGTCCGACTGGGGCACTCTTTACTTGTGGTGGAGGGTCAGTATATAACAACGCTGAAACATATAACATTTTATAATGACACTTTTACATGATGCAGTTTAGAAAATCTGAAATATTAGATGCCATTTTATAAACATTTCTGTGACAAGAGGGCCAATTTTTCACATTTTCCTAGATGAGAGATAAGTATCTAATTCTGAATTTTTCCCATTACTTTAACAATGAAATAGACAAAGCCTCAGAACAGAGTTACAGATTTTGGCTTTACTGTTTCTTTAATACTTCCTCAATACTTATATAGGTCCTTTCTTTACCTTTAATCTGGTCTCCATAAGGAGTTTGGGCACCTTCAATGCCACCAAAACACACACGCTGGTCAGCACAGTATGGTCCTTTCAGGGGAGTTAATCCATCCTCGGCCACCTGGCACCACTGACAACCCATTACTCCAATACACGTCCTGTAATCAATTTACACAGTATAAAACACTGATTCGGCTATTCTACCCTGCATACACAATATATCACATAATTTAACCTCACATATACAAAACAAAATATTTTACATCCTCGTGTACACAATATTAAATATGTCTAAATTCAGCTACTTAACATTTCAATCAGAAAATTCACATCGATAAATCTGGCTTTTTTCCAGAATCAAGAATGTACCTATCATAGGAATATACAAATCATACATTTCTACCAAACAAGAAGATAGTTTTAAAATCTTCCCTACTAAAAACAACTACACAGCCCCTGTACACCTATCAAATTAAACACAAAATCCATTGAACTTACATTTTACTGGTGCGTTCACTACACAAGGGCCTGCGACAGGGTTCCAAGTTTTCCATCAGCTCATTATCCAGTGGAAACAGCATCTCTGGCTCTGGATAACGAGGACAGCTGGGGTTCCTGTTTAAATTAAACACAAAATGCAGTTGACAATATTTTCCACAGATACCATTAATAATATAAATCATACTGAAATATGAAAAGGTTTCTTTTCTGACGTTAAAAACTATTCATGGTTTTGTTAAAGGCCTTAAAGAGAAAGAATGCATATTTCACAAAACGAATGAAAAAAATGAGATGAATTTTTATTAACTTTAACATTTTTTTTCTTCAGATATCAGTTTCTGGTGATTGCAATCAATCCTTGAAACTCCTGAAAAGTAAGAGCTCCAGGAAAATAACATTCACTGTACTTTCCCTACACAGGTGGATGTTGTTCAATTCACATGCATCAACCACACATGGATTTAATCTTAACACATTTTGAATGGCTGACACAGCGAATTTTGGCCACATTATATATGGTATAAATAGTATTTCTTTCACTTTCATAATCTGTTTTTGCTTAGCTGCAAAAACATCTTGTTTTGAAAAATAACTATAAATGAGGGAGAAAGATATCTACAACAACCGCCTGCTGTGTAACCTCGACTTATTTCAAATTAAGTTGATATCTGTACAGAGGTAGATCAAGGAACTTACATATCCTCTTCCTTCAATAAGGCACCGGTACAGAAATTCATTGCTAGAGGGCATTCACAAGGACACTCGCATTCAATCTGTTCCATTCTGTTACAGTTCAGGCACAGACGGTCAAACTGTAAACAATGAAAAATGATACGATATTTAGAAGTTAAAATCTGACCAGCTGTATCCATCTTACTATAATAGCCAAAAGAGTATTACCTCTGATTAATGGTCAGGAGACAGGCATATTACAGGAAAATAACTTTCCTACACAAGCTGGGATAAATTTGGGTGAGCTCATTATCAGAAGTGTCAGATAAAATAATGTATTATGATATATAATACACTTATCATATTTCTAATACTGAACTGACATGCAGAAAGAATTCTGAATGGACCACAACCTACCATACTACAAGGACAGAAAGCAGTTGCTGTGTCACATGTGTGATTAACTATTGCGATGAAGGCATTAGTTCCAGGAATGTGTGTTATCTGTAAAACATAAAAGACATTCATGAGAAATTAAAAACTCTCACACCACCTAGCATTACACAGAAAGATTGTAGTCAATACCGATCCCCATATTTTCTTATGCTGATTGTCTCCAATACATATGAAACTCTCAACGATAATATACACAATTAATAACTTTGCTGCTAATTTGAATTTTAACTAAAAAACTTATTGTTTCAAAAACAGTTTCCTCAGTAAATGATTCATCATTAATCTGTTATAATTCAATCACTATTTTCTAATAACTTTCATCATTATGTCATCAAAGTAAATACAATACTGATTGCACAAGAACCTCACTTAAAGCTGGTGACTGGAGATAAAGACATACCTGATAACGTGCACAGTGTTCTCCATGTACTCTGTTAGTAAGAACTCCCTCCAGGCTGGTGTTGAACTGTAATTATCATCAAATTCATTAATTTCAAAGACAATTTTATTTTTCTGATGATTTACTGTTATTATAAAACATTTCCTTAATGAACATTATGAAATTTAAATCTGACTTGAATTTGGCTGACCTTCATCAAACATCACAGAATTTTTCCTCACAATTTATCATTTACAAAGCAATATTTTGCTATTGCCAATTCATTTTACATCTGGTTGAGACTCAACACAATAACTATTTTATATAAAAGATAACAACAAAAAAATGTCAAAAATGCAGTTTGGGTGGTACACTATTATAGATATACAATACCTTGTAGAACCTTTGGACAGTACGGTCATTGTACCGATTACAAAGCTCCTTCCTCACGAAGTGTTCATGATTCAGGATATCATTAGCCACCAAGGGTTCCTAAAAACACAGTATTTCATTATAATAAATTAAAAACAGGATAAAATTTTCTTTATCTACATGTTTTCCTTATACAAAAACACTTTTATATCAACAGAAATGAAAATTATATTGAGAATCTTACATATAATTGCACAAAATATACCTTAAGGATATACACACTCAGGAATTTAAGGTTACCTCCCTTTGATGAGTGCATATTGAATATCATCTTTCACAAGTATGATTAATTTATACACCAAGAAGAAATAGAAATAAACATTAAATTGGAAGACCTTCATACTAGTAAGATGGATAGCTGCAGTACGTAAGTAAGACTTACCTGGTGAGTAATATGTTGCTGTTCTACTGGACCTTTGCCATTAGGCTCAATCAATGCTGGATGTGCGATCAGGTATCCGGTGTCATCCATAACAAAGCACCTAGAATCAAGACAGTTTACATCATCACATGCTCTTATCTCTGACATCTCAAATATAAAGAGAAGCACGGAACAGGGATTACTGGCTTAGCTTTTGACATTAATTGAAAATGTTTACAGTTTCAAATCCACATCCTGTCAAGAACATGTCAATACTGATATTTATTATTTATTCCACTGATTTTTGTTTTGTTTTAATGAAAGAAGGCCATTAAAACAAGAGGCCCTTAGGATCTGTATTGTTCACCTAGCTTTGCTTGGCTGAAATCACTTCATCAAAACTAAAGGAAAAGGAATTCTAAATATCAAAGTACACACTACACGACATATGTTTCATTCTGGAACCCAACCCACTGTTCTTTGAAAAGGGTTGGCCAAATCTACAAGGGACTCAAAGCAATTTGTAGAAAAAAGTTGAGAGACAGACACCATGGTATGGCAATAGCTCACTTGGCCCTTGGGCAAGGTGAGTTAAAAACCAACAAATTAACATTTCTCCTTTGAACTGGGATACTATTGTGCCCTGAGACTTACTTCACAGTAGGATGTTGACACATGGGGATATTCTCTACAAGGAGTTTGTAGAAGTACCCAAGTGTGATGTCCATCCCCATCACTCCGACGACTGGATCTGTGGTACTGTGTGGAGCACGCCTGAAATGATACAACAAGGTCATCAGTGCCAGCCTTTCTACATCATATTATGGTGTAATGATTCCACTAAATTTTTAACAGATCTCCGACATAGTTCATATAAGTAATATTGCAAATTTCACATATTTTCTAAAACCTATTAACTGAACTTGAATGTACATATATGATTAAAGAAAACAATGTCAAAATATTAGAAACACACAGAACTGATGATGGATTTGAAAAGAGGTCTTAATAATAATGATCTGATATTTTTCAATGGAACAGTTTGTCCACTAGAGATTTTAAAACCATGTAGCTTTATTATGTTGACACTAATAATAATGCTGATTATCTACTCACTTTCCCTCAAATACTGTGTGGCTTATAGTAGTGATGTAGCCAGCCCCGCCCACATCCAAATATGGAGAGGTGAGGGTCACCTGGTCTGGGTACTGCATGGCACGCTGGTACCTGTTGTTTAATGAAGATCATGAGATATTAAAGTATTGAGAAGCTCTATGAAATCCGGAAATTTGGACGACTTGGTTAGCTAGATTTTCACAGCTTATTTACGAATCAAACATCTGTTGTCAAATGTGTTACCACTGCTAATTTCATTTACTCTCAGCAAAAATTCCCTCTACCCACCTCAGAAGATTTAAAACTTTAAAACTTTTAAAGATACATACCATGACCGTTTAGTAGGATCAAATGTTTTCTCCATTAGAGTACCTGGCAGCATGCGGAACACTCCACTCCGTGTGGCGATGTACCTACAATCAGGAAAAAAGTACATTAAACATTTCCTCAATAGTGATGTAACACATCTTGAAAATATCATAGGCTGCTGGCATCAACATTACAATTATACTTATTCAGGATAACAATAATCTACCTCAGATAGTTGTTGAGATGAAATGTTAGGCATGAAGTCAATAACCCAATTTTCTTGTTGACTTAACAATAAGAATAACTTGCCTGCGGATGATGTAATCGTTAAGATTACTGGTGTAGGATCTTCTTAGCCATTCTGCATTGATTCTCCCGGTAGCAGTCACGTCATCTCTCACATCATCCTAACAAAAGCAAAAACTTAAAGATCAAACAAGATACAGTCATAAAAACTAAATAGAATTCAGACAAAAGGTTAATCCAAGACTGGCCTTGGGATAATTGTGCTTTTAATTACTCAGATTTTGACTTAACCAAGATCATTAATTATTAATACTGAAACATTTCTCTCCAGTATATAGTTCTGTCTATTATCAATCAGTGTTATTTCATTGTCCTGTAATAAGCCAAGCTCCTGTCTCTAAGTAAAAGTATTACACTGGGCCTCTGTGCTTATTGAACGATAAATAAGGTAAAGGTTTCAAACATTAAAATTGAAAAAAAAAAAAGTTATATTTTCCCCCCCATCCTAGTTATGTTTTGAGAGTCTGTGATACCTACATTGAGTCCTGGATTGGTCAGCAGCTCCAGACTATCAGAAAGATACAGAAGGTAACTCTGGACCATCCTCTTGGTCTCCTCCTTACTGAGGTAGGTATATGGCTCGGAGAAACTTGTGGCAGACAGGAACACACTGCTCACCTCTGTAAAACAAAATGTATCTTTTACACCAAAGTAAACATCTTATCGTGAGAATTTAATCTGTTTATTTTCTGGTCAACATTTGTATGTTAAAGAGTATGAATGACTGCAGTCAGTGTGATGGTATCAGATCTCTACATCAAGATATACAATTCCTTCTGTTTTCTTTTGTTGGCAACTTGTGATTGATAAGATTTGAAATATTTCCACCGTTATCTATAGAACAAGTGTTCATGAAGAATTTCACAAAATGAATGCACTCTAATGCAACTGAGTGAAAATACAGGACTTACCAGGTGTAGCTAGCTGTTTGAGGTGTAGGCACATCTTGTTCTTGGGTACGAGGTCCAGTCTGTGGTACACTAGCTCAGGTTCCTTTGATACTGTCAATCAATATCATACGAAGAGGATTGTAATTCTGCTATCTTTTGTAAACAGTGATTACCTCATTTTTGTATCAAGCAATCGTTACAGTGAAAACATTTCTGTTACTGCAAAAGTTTTTAGAAATCTTTTGTCACACAAGACACAATGTCATACCTATTTATGCTATAGCATCACAGATATTTCAACACCTATTGTATCAATTTGTGGTATCACTTTAAATTATAATCATTCTGACAGAAAAAGCAACACCAGATATCACATTTTTGAGGTCTGTTTTTTTACCAAAGACTCACTTACCTGGTATGTTAACCAGTTTTCTGTTATTTTTCCTCTCTGATACAGTTTTTAAAGCCAAAATGAATGGTGTATCTTCAACCTGAAATGGGAATCAAATTTTTGCCATAACCTACAATAATTACTGTAGAATCATATATTTTTTATGGAGTTGAATTTTTGTGTTTTCCCTCCCAAAAATACCTATGTTATGGACACTTGATTTTGTGGATAAATATATATATAAAAATATACTAATCTTGACAGTACATGAAATAAATACTCATTTTAACAGGTTGTGGATTGAGAGGACCTATAACGTCTAAACCCCCCCCCCCCTCCCCCCCAAGAAAATTAATGACTTTCCAGTACGTTGTAATTTTAGAAAAATACAGATTACACGCTATTCTATATTTGCCAGCCATACAACTTTGTCAAGTCACCATTTAACAGATAAAATTGACACTGTCTGTTATATATTATGAGGGAGCACCATTCTTATTCTTGAACAAAACATTACGCAATAAAATTTCTAATATCAACAAAATGGATTCATGAATTAACAATATTTCTCTAAGATGAATAGAAAAATTGCGATATCTGACAACTTTGAGGTGATATTTATAGAACTGACCCTTCTCCAGATGTATCTAGCATAAAACTCTGGGACGGTAACAACTGGATCCGATGAATTGGCGGGTGTCACTTTCCTCTGTATCATCAAAACCTCCTCACCACGCTCTTTACTGTAAAAACATAATCACAAATCATGTTATGTTATAAACATCCAGCATTGATACAGCAACATTAAAACACAATATGGTACTACATGATATACACAGAGCTAGAAATGTCTTAATCTGTGTTACAGTAGAAACCTTTTCAAGTAAAAACTAATACTGTCATCATGCAGTCATTATAACCGTTTTATACTGCCTCAATGAGTCCAGTATTTTACATTTAGGGAGGCGAAAAAAGGTATTTCCTAAAACAGGAAAATAATGAAATTACGAAATATGCCAGCAGAAACAAAGGAGGGGCAGAGCAATTTTTAAAAATAGGAAAATAAGATTATGAAATATGCTGGTGCAAAGAAAAGAGAAAGAAACTGTTGACAGAAAACAAGTTGATGAACATGATCAAACAACATGACATACTTACTTTAACATGTCACTTCGTATCTTGACAAATCCATCCATATTTTCAAAGTGCCAGATATCCGTGTGCATGGGCTGTAGATGTGTCTTGATTGGGCGACTGAATGATGGATGCATCAATGTGTAACCTGTGTTGGACAAGTCAATACAAATACATTCAATATCCTTCATCAACTGCATAGAAATGTAGGTAAAAACTTTAAAATGCATTCTGGTAATCAGGGTAGTGTTATGGACACTGACCACTGGTAATCAGGGTAGTGTTATGGATACTGACCACTGGTAATCAGGGTAGTGTTATGGACACTGACCACTGGTAATCAGGGTAGTGTTATGGATACTGACCACTGGTAATCAGGGTAGTGTTATGGATACTGACCTTCAGTATTGATAAGGAACAAGTAAGCCTGTTCACCATCCAAGTAAGTCATGTCCTGTACGATGTCCTCCATGTGTAGGTCCACACCTGTCACACCTATCACCTGGTTGTCATGGAAACAGGTCTGGCTGATGGTTAGTGTCAGAGCTACATGAGAATGGAGAGATGAAAAGTTAACTACCTATATAATAGATTAGGCTGAAATATCTGCTTTACATAATGATCCATAATATATAACATGAAATTTCAGATGCATTATCATTCAGAGTATACAATAACAATATATCACTTCTAAAAAGTTGCAAACTAACAACATATTTGCTGTTGTTTCCATCAGAACCAAAATCTCTTCTCATCCTACAGTCTATGGTAATCTATCACTTCATCCTACAGTCTATGGTAATCTGTCACTTTATCCTACACTCTATGGTAATCTGTCACTTCATCCAACAGTCTATGGTAATCTGTCACTTCATCCTACACTCTATGGTAATCTGTCACTTCATCCAACAGTCTATGGTAATCTGTCACTTCATCCTACACTCTATGGTAATCTGTCACTTCATCCAACAGTCTATGGTACTCTGTCACTTCATCCTACACTCTATGGTAATCTGTCACTTCATCCTACACTCTATGGTAATCTGTCACTTCATCCAACAGTCTATGGTAATCTGTCACTTCATCCAACAGTCTATGGTAATCTGTCACTTCATCCTACACTCTATGGTAATCTGTCACTTCATCCAACAGTCTATGGTAATCTGTCACTTCATCCTACACTCTATGGTAATCTATCACTCCATCCTACACTCTATGGTAATCTATCACTCCATCCTACAGTCTATGGTAATCTATCACTCCATCCTACAGTCTATGGTAATCTATCACTCCATCCTACAGTCTATGGTAATCTATCACTCCATCCTACAGTCTATGGCAATCTATCACTCCATCCTACAGTCTATGGTAATCTATCACTCCATCCTACAGTCTACGGCAATCTATCACTCCATCCTACAGTCTACGGTAATCTATCACTTCATCCTACAGTCTACGGTAATCTATCACTCCATCCTACAGTCTACGGTAATCTATCACTCCATCCTACAGGCTACGGTAATCTATCACTCCATCCTACAGTCTATGGTAATCTGTCACTCCATCCTACAGTCTATGGTAATCTGTCACTTCATCCTACAGTCTATGGTAATCTGTCACTTCATCCTACAGTCTATGGTAATCTGTCACTTCATCCAACAGTCTATGGTAATCTGTCACTTCATCCTACACTCTATGGTAATCTGTCACTTCATCCAACAGTCTATGGTAATCTGTCACTTCATCCTACACTCTATGGTAATCTATCACTCCATCCTACACTCTATGGTAATCTATCACTCCATCCTACAGTCTATGGTAATCTATCACTCCATCCTACAGTCTATGGTAATCTATCACTCCATCCTACAGTCTATGGTAATCTATCACTCCATCCTACAGTCTATGGCAATCTATCACTCCATCCTACAGTCTATGGTAATCTATCACTCCATCCTACAGTCTACGGCAATCTATCACTCCATCCTACAGTCTACGGTAATCTATCACTTCATCCTACAGTCTACGGTAATCTATCACTCCATCCTACAGTCTACGGTAATCTATCACTCCATCCTACAGGCTACGGTAATCTATCACTCCATCCTACAGTCTATGGTAATCTGTCACTCCATCCTACAGTCTATGGTAATCTGTCACTTCATCCTACAGTCTATGGTAATCTGTCACTTCATCCTACAGTCTATGGTAATCTGTCACTTCATCCTACAGTCTATGGTAATCTGTCACTTCATCCTACAGTCTATGGTAATCTGTCACTTCATCCTACAGTCTATGGTAATCTGTCACTTCATCCTACAGTCTATGGTAATCTGTCACTTCATCCTACAGTCTATGGTAATCTATCACTCCATCCTACAGGCTACGGTAATCTATCACTCCATCCTACAGTCTATGGTAATCTGTCACTTCATCCTACAGTCTATGGTAATCTATCACTTGCTTCCAGAAGCAGCAACTAACCACTTCTGTCATACAGTTTACAATGTTTCATGACATAAAGAGGGCTATTGGTGACCTTACCTGAGTCTGCTTTATCTATATAGGGTAGAGAGTATCGTACATGATGGTTGGTGGTACGATTGAAGGGTAGGTAGAACCTCCCAACAGAACTGCTCAGATCCTTGGTGGAGTTGATAGCCATCATTACACCAGGCTGTAGCAACAACGAGACAAATTATCATTAATGTATGTAGACCAAAAAGTTATGTTTGACTAAAAAAACATAATCCTAACATGAATTCCAAAAATAGTTATAATTTGGAACTTGATTACCCTTTTTTATTGTTTTACTTCTTTTCAAATTATATCTAATTTGTTCAATGCTGATAAATATAAACTTTGAGTCCACCTTAGCTGTTAAAAACTTAAATGTACAGACATAATTTAGAGTTTAAATCCATTAATATGTTTACTACTGTGCACTGTTTTCATTGGTTATATTTGATATGATGTGTAGATTTTCTGGTGACCAAAAATATTCAATAACATCCGTATCATATACCATCCACGATTAACAACTTACCACCACTTTGTTTGGACTTCTAATCCGCACATTATATTTCTGGAAGTTCTGATCGGCTATGTCTTGAAGGAAGCTCTTTTCGTACATGATCGGCTTGCCATCTAAAAATTGATATCACAACTTTTAAAAATCCACCAAAAAACACAATCTTCATTATCTGATGTTTACTGAAATGCCGCTTTAAATATGAGAGAAAACGGATTATAAAATATTGACGACTTAGAGAACATTATTTCCTCTTTTTACTGAAGTTAAGAGGTGCATAGCTTCACACTTACCATCAATGACAGCGTAGGTGTTGATGATGACACGATGTCCGAGGCCACCATTACGTTGTGAAATCACGTCCATCACATCCTTAGCCTCAGTTAGTGAGGACAACAGGCCTCGACTGATGTAGATTATCATGGCTTGTTCTGAAAAGGTAACAATCACACCATATTCCTAATGAGGCTACTCCTGGTCACACAAACGTTTAATGGAATCAGAAATTTTGTAGATACTAACTTATCTAAGTATGAAAACATGTTTGTATTTCATTTTCATCCAACAACTTAAAACTTTGAGAATCATTTAATTTGTCCAAAAAATCTGACAAGGCATATTTGATTATTTCTTCATTAATTGTTATCAACGTTGGTTCTGAATTCCTGTGTTTGTTAGAACATACAGAGGTGCTCTTTTAAATAATCAGACTTTCATAACATAAAAAAATCATTAGTAAATCCAATGTTTACTGAAGCCTAAATTTAAGACCGAATTACACCAGCAAGACAACAATGTAAACTATTTCATTTCCTCGGTTGTTATCTAGTACTTACCAATTTTTGCACCTTTTGTCTTTTTGACCATGTTTTCAATTATATCAAAAGCAACTTGGAATCCCAGGGAATGGTTTGTTGAAGCTGCAAAGAAACAGGTTTAAGATACTCTAACATTTATCATGAAGCTACACAAACTAACCTTTTGCTTGACAGTTAAAAAACTCATACAGAGGGTTCATCAATTGTATCACTCAACCTGGTTTAGTTTGCTGAAACTGATTCATTTAAAATAAAGCAAAAGAATCTAAAACACTTGTATACTTCCCCTATTAAGTTCCTTATATGGACACTGCCTCACTGATGGACTAAACTTACAACTAGGACATGATGTTTCAGTTTTTTTATTTCCCCTTTAATTACACCTTCATGTAATAAAGCCATATTTTTTTCCCTTTTTTTATAAAACCATTTTGTTGAAGGTACCCTTCATCCTCAAAAAAAGAAAGACAAAATGTCAGATGTATGTATGTATATATAGATCCACAAAGTTTGGTATTACCATCCTCCTTCTCCAGGTTGTCTATAAACTTGCTGAAGTAGAGGGTCGCCTCAAATGTGACAGGTACCATGGAGGAGTGGATACATGTATCATCAGACGGAGCCCTGGAAAAAGTTGGCCGCGATGCTAAGCCAACTACTCCAACCTGTTGACAAAAGAAGCAGATACAATTTGTAAATTCTTTTCCTTCAGTCACATTAAAACAATCATTTCTACTGGGAGAAGCCCAAGGGTACAGCACACAACCTCAACCTCAAAGTCAGCAGGTGGGCTTATTACAGGACACAATGGTATATTTTACTGGTTATGTAATAATTTGATTTATTGATATTATTATAATATCAATAATTATTTAATAATTGAAATTAATAATTATTAATAATATCAATAATCATTTTATTTAATAATGGTATGTATTTTTGTGTGGGCTTATTGTCAGACTACTGTCAGATAAATATGGTAGACTCAAATATGGTGGACAGTAGCAGATGTTAGTATAATTGAACTGTCTTCATTTTTATTGATTAGCTGTTCTTTGAAGAATTCAATAAGCTCAATGTTTTGAGGTTTTAGTTGTATAAACATGTTTATTACTGTATGGATCAGGTTGAGTTTTGCAAACAAGAAAACATAAATTGTACCCTGTCTTTCTCTGAAAGGGAGTTGAGCAGGTGCTTGGCGATGCCTTTTGCAGTTCTCAATTGGTTGGCACTCAAGGAATTTCCATGGTCCATTACTATTACAATGTGTTTGGGCTGTGGCTGCACTGTTGACACAAAGACCGTCCTGCAACAAAAACACACATGATCAAAAACTCTTCATCAAAGAAACACATGTGTGATTAATAAACTGCGGGTGGTTGAGTGGTGCAGTGGTAGGGAACTCAAATCTCCCAATCAGGGAAAAGGTATGGGGTCACTTGCCTGAACACATGGAATTTACCTAGGTTCTACAGTCTTTCAATAGTGAGACCCCTGGTGTTTTTCTATCTGGGCCAACACCAGATTTTTATATAAGCTGATAGATTGTTTCCAAATTGTTGTAAAATAAATAATGCTTATAGTTACAGAAACTGCATAATACTTAAAAATGTTCATCAAAGTATGGATGCTTCCATGGTTCTCAAATTTATGACTATGTTCATTGAACATTAAACATTCAGTCTTTTAACAAATTTAGCAAAACACTGAATTAATATCTTAGAAACTTTCCTCTGTGTTTGCCTCCTTATTTCTCTTGTAAAAATGGGGCACTTGAAAAAGTTTGTCATCATGCATCATCACAAAATCCACATCAATTTGTAACAACGTGGAGTAAGGAAAATTAGACGGTGAAAAGCTGGCACTATTTTCAGACACCAAACAGAAATAACCAAGTTAATTTTTTTTCTCAGAGTAGAGTCAACCATGGCAAAAATCCAAAATACTTTAACCTCTGTATGAACTTAAGAATTAATTTTTGATACAAGGAACCTCCAAACTCAGCTGGGTTTTGGAGTAAAAGTAGCCAGCTAGCACACAGTTGCCTGTGTAAAAGCCCTTCACCATCAAGCCATAGCTCTATCTCCCACAGATTTCCTATCATTTGATATAACTCCAGTAATAGAGATAAGATGTAATTTCATCATGTCTTGCAGAGAACCAAGACTGTGAACAAATCGAAGGCAAATGTTGGTGATAAGACAGAAGCAAACTGAGGACTGATAAATACTAAGTAGGGCTATCAGTAGCACCCTGAGGCTGCCTTGCCCCGGGGCAATTCCTGGGCGAGCCAGACCCCAGGGTCAGTAAATTACATCTGAGACATTGCATCCCACTGATCTTCATCATGAAATTTTTTTAAAATACGTAATTAAAGCTAAACTCAGAAAATGTTCTCTAAAAGTCTGTTCCACATAAAAAGTTCTTAAACTGTTCTTAAATATTAGGAAACCATCTGACACCCTACTCAGTTCCTGGGTATTCAGAGACTGTAAAATCATGTTTTTCCATGGAATGTTATTTTCGTTGAATTCATAGTTATTCTTAATCCACCAATTTGTAATCCACAAAATAGTTACGAGAAAACAATAGACATGAATTATAGTACTACCTGGTAATGGATTTCGAGAATAACATTTAAATGCATGTTTTTGTGAGTATCGGATTTTTCAGTAGTAGGTAAGAATCTGCAACCCAGCCAATTCAATCATGATGGTAACCACAACCACAACCACACTACCACAAGTTCAGTTAATCATCATAGTCTTTCAAGTATAGAACATCAATTGTTTGAAACTGGGCTACCATCTGACCCTCTCAGGGTCTTAAAGCTAACCAGTAACCAAGTGTAGCTCATATGACCTTTCAAGGACAGTTGTGGTAAAACTTTGTGATAAACCAACAAATTAAATAAGTTCAGTTACTAAATATATATAATTAGACAAAGTATGCAAAATCTAATGACACTGTGAACATTCCTATTTTTGAGTCATTTGATTATTTGCTCTTTTTAGGGATAGAGTAAAATATGAGGAAAAAAGAACATGTAAATGTCTATTTCATGATTTCTGTCAAAAATACAAACTTAGCTTCAAGCTTTTGAAAAATCTGTGAAAATCTAAATTGTTGAAAAACACTACAGAACAAGAGGTCTTGAGACTGTGTAACTTTTTTTTTACTCTTTTTTGCTGATGTCAAAATATCCTTTTAAAATCACCTATTGCATCTATTACACCTTTAGTATAGCTATTTAACATGAGCCCCTCAAAAGACAAGGTCAATCAAGTATTGCTCTCTCTCACCAACAATGCTGCCGTGATACAAAAGTACTACAAATATGTTTTCATCTGTGAAAAAATGTTAGGACTAGATCAGCGCCACAAATGAAATGGATCTTTTTTATCAGTTTTTATTAGAAAAACATTTTGAGGCCAAAGAACTTATCAGCAGATTGGCTGTGGAGGCACTTCTCCAATAATTACACTACATGTAGTCACATTCCATCTTTGAAAGTTGGCTACTTGTAGATGAAAACATCTTGATAATATCTGTATCCGAATTTATGATAAGTAACCAAAGCTTGATGACTTTGCCTGTAACAGTTAATATCTGTGTGTCTACAATTGACCATGTGTTGTCTACAGTGGTACCAAAGTCTTTGTGTCTAAAGTGATATGCAAATCTAGGGTTGTACTGTCGTACTGCAAAGTCAAGAGTCTATATTAACAGTGCCCATGTGTCTACCATGTGTAAGACTTCAAGTGTCTACAAAGGTATAGGGTCCATGTGTCTACCATGTCACAGGGTCCATGTGTCTACCATGTGTAAGACTTCAAGTGTCTACAAAGAGATAGGGTCCATGTGTCTACCGTGTCACAGGGTCCATGTGTCTACCATGTCACAGGGTCCATGTGTCTACCATGTGTAAGACTTCAAGTGTCTACAAAGGTATAGGGTCCATGTGTCTACCATGTCACAGGGTCCATGTGTCTACCATGTGTAAGACTTCAAGTGTCTACAAAGGTATAGGGTCCATGTGTCTACCATGTCACAGGGTCCATGTGTCTACCATGTGTAAGACTTCAAGTGTCTACAAAGGTATAGAGTCCATGTGTCTACCATGTCACAGGGTCCATGTGTCTACCATGTGTAAGACTTCAGGTATCTACAAAGAGATAGGGCCCATGTGTCTACCGTGTCACATGGTCCATGTGTCTACCATGTGTAAGACTTCAGGTATCTACAAAGAGATGGGGTCCATGTGTCTACCATGTCACGGGGTGCATTTCTACAGTATAAAAAGTTCCTGGGTCAAAGTGTCTTATGTGATGATGGGTTCACATGTCTACAGCATAATACTGTCTGCCTCTAATGAACTCTATCATAGCTAGTAAATGTTTCATGGGTCTGTAATCAGTCTCAGTGTCAGATTAAGACACATGTCTATGCAGTGATTTAAGAACTGTTTTCTCTAGAATAGTGCCTGGTCTCACCAAGGCCCAACATCAGACACTTGTAGCAACAGTTGTTCAATATGGTTTTAATTAAACCATTACTTTGATGCCCCTTTAAAACCTATATCAAATGTTATTTGCACCTGGCCATCATCGTGTGAGCTCTTGATCAGCCAACAACATGTAAACTCATAAACAACTTTATAAAGCCACATCTGAGAATTTCTTCTGCTTAGATGCGGCTGGTTATCTCTGAGGAAGAGAAGATTTTTTACCCGTCTGTATGTCATTAATAACTTCTGCTGTTTGTGAACTCCAGTCCACAAAATTATCCTACAACTGTACAAATAATTTTGGACAAAACCATCCTGACTTTATTACATCACCGTAAATATCCATGCATCACTAATTTCTATTCAGGAACGCCTTCAAACGATCCGATAAATGAATCCACAGTATTTTTTCAGGACAAAAATTGCTGCAATTATTATAAAGAATTCATCAATGTACTTCAGATATCAGAAGTCTTATCAACAAAACCAAAGTATATCAACATTGAAATTTTTTCTTGTAGTAAAAGAACTCCACAAAAACTCGAAAGTTGTAATATTATATATATCAGAAGCCCAAAAAGTTATAACTATGAGGTTTTTTTTTCATTATACCACTGTACACTAAGGAAATGAAAGAGACATTGTGATAGACACATGTGGCAATGATTTGTTCTTACATACAGCTCCCTACTATATGTTTAGTCCTGTATCTTTTACCCTTGCCCAGTCATCTGTGTGTACTCATTACGATCAGAAGGGTACTGTACATGAAAACATGTACATCAAAAGCATTTCTGCACGACTGTTTTGAAGTGGTTGGCTCTCAGCATCTCCTGGGATGACCCTGAGCCTGTGTACATTATAAGTATGTGGGATGACCCTGAGCCTGTGTACATTATGACTGTGTTAGTAATTTTCTGCTTGTTTCATCAGAGGGTCCCTGTAGCCAAAAAATTTCTTGGATAAGGAAGAAACTTTTGTATATTCAGAAACTACACAAAGACAGACTTTTCCGCTCACTAAACAACACAAGTTACTGGATAAATTCAGAGGCACTCTCCTTTCAGTACAAAACACAAGTTACTGGGATAAAGTCTGTGTGACTCCCCTCTCCCCCTCCCCTGCAGGACACAAGTTACTGGGATAAAGTCTGTGGAACTGTCCCCTCCCCTTTTCCCCTGCAGGACACAAGTTACTGGGATAAAGTCTGTGGAACTGTCCCCTCCCCTTCTCCCCTGCAGGACACAAGTAACTGGAATAAAGTCTGTGGGACTGTCCCCTCCCCTCTCCCCTGCAGGACACAGGTTACTGGGATAACGTCTGTGGGACTGGGATAACGTCTGTGGGACTGTCCCCTCCCCTCTCCCCTGCAGGTCACAGGTTACTGGGATAACGTCTGTGGGACTGTCCCCTCCCCTCTCCCCTGCAGGACACAGGTTACTGGGATAACGTCTGTGGGACTGTCCCCTCCCCCTCTCCCCTGCTGGACACAAGTTACTGGGATAAAGTCTGTGGGACTGTCCCCTCCCCCTTTCTCCTGCAGGACACAAGTTACTGGGATAAAGTCTGTGGGACTGTCCCCTCCCCCTTTCTCCTGCAGGACACAAGTTACTGGGATAAAGTCTGTGGAGTTCTCTCCTCCCTTCAGGACATAAGTTACTTGGACAATCCCTTCCTTTTGGAGACCTGACAGCCCATGCATGAAGGTGTGTTACTTACCTGTGTCTGTGGTCATGGACATTGGTACATCTATGTTCTCCATGGAAAGCATTAGCTGGATACTCTGTATGGATACCATCCACAGATATAAAGTACTGCCATTTCAGACTATCAAAGTACTGCATATTGCTCTTCCATACTGTAACACAAAAACAAATTAATGATTCTTTTTGAGAAAATAAACAATTCAGAGAAATAATACATCAATGTTTTCATGAGTTCCACAAAATTATACTGTTGTGGATTGTACTTGTAACAAGAGGCCCATGGGCCTTAACTGTCATCTGACTACAAAAACTTTCAGCAGGGAGAAAGGTTACTTTTTCTACTCTGTATGAAATTATACTTATAAGCTGTTTCCAATGATGCTGATGGTAGTTTTGTTTAGGAGAAGGAAACTGTGATAAGCGTTACCTATTTCTTAACAGTAAAAATCCAACTGATGAAACTTGAGAAGTTTGAAATAGATGTTGTAAAAGAAAACCATGTTTGTACAATCATGTTACAAAAAGACCTCCCTTGCTGCCGTATTGAAGTTTTGACAAGGTCGAAAAATAACAACACTTTGTTGGTAACCTTTCCTTAACATTCCCAACAATTGTTAGCTCATTGGCACCAGTGGAACTGGAGAAGAAGCTTGAAATGTCAAAAGTTTACGCATGGCGCACTGCGGACAGTGACAGAATAAGCATGACGGCTATAGGTCATCATGATCCTTCAGGTCAGATGACCTAAACATACAGTTATCTCCATTCTAGTAAAGTATAAAATTCTATGACATTTCATTCTAACATATAGGACATCTTTCTTACCCTAACTCAGGACTGAAAATAGATGTGACCTAGAACCAATTCTGACCCATGATCCCCAAAATATACTATAACCCAACTGTCTTAGCAGCTCTTAGTGATTTTAGCAATACAGCAAATTTGCAGGTTTTCTTTGAGCAATTCTGAGCTTCCATTGTAAAATTGGAAGTACACAGTCTTTATGAATACTGTGCAGAGAGACCCAGTCACCACCACAGGCATGTGAGTTTGCCATTCAGGCATATAAGGGTCAGTTGATGACCTTTTGGTCGACTATTGACATTACATTATCAGAGAATATGAAACAAATCTCTACAATAAACCATTTTTCAAATTATGTAGGTGTTTCATGGTTTTTGTAACAATAGCAATTTGATGGTTATTCACACAATTAGTCAATGAATTTAAAGACACTAGCATGGAATTCTCAGAATCAAACATTCAAGATAACACAATGCCCCAGGCACTGAAATTTTAAAACAGAATGCACTGTATGTACTGTACAGGCAGATTCACAATTTATTGCACGTAAGGTTAGTAATTATATATCATTCATCAACAAGAGATAAAGGGGCCTCAATAGCACAGTCAGTTCAGAGTTGATCACCTGAATGTATACGACTGAACTCCTATATGTTGTTCAATGAGGTCACTACCAGCTACTAGAAGGCTGGGGTAAATCACACTTTTATTGGATCACATCAAGAAAAATCACTTTGGATGATTCTGTCAGCAATTTACTAATAACAGCACTCATCATATATACAAAAAGAGAACACATTCAGAATAAAACTGAAAATAATTAAATCTATAGAAACAAGTGGATACATTGCATCGCCTATAACATGAGAGTTTTAAAATCGTCAGTTTGTGGGAATTGGTATCTAGGACTAGACTGAGTGCTTCTTTCTTACATAGTTATTAAAAAATATCAGTCCATGCATGATCTGCCATTTTCCATTGATTGGAAAGACTCCATTCTTCAGTCTATTAAGCTGAAGTCTACGTAATGTTACCAGCAGAGTGGGTAGACCCAGTAGTACATTTGGTAGATATATCTTCCTTTTTTTTGTTAAGGATGATAATTCATTGGTGTCGTAGATCCTGTTTGGTACTTTAGGGTTGTGTTACATAATGTACATGGTACTTTAGGGTTGTGTTACATAATGTACATGGTACTTTAGGGTTGTGTTACATAATGTACATGGTACTTTAGGGTTGTGTTACATAATGTACATGGTACTTTAGGGTTGTGTTACATAATGTACATGGTACTTTAGGGTTGTGTTACATAATGTACATGGTACTTTAGGGTTGTGTTACATAATGTACATGGTACTTTAGGGTTGTGTTACATAATGTACATGGTACTTTAGGGTTGTGTTACATAATGTACATGCAGGGATGGACTTTTCCCTTTTGCCGCCCGTTTGAAAAGCTTGAAGTGGTCCCATACCTTGGTCTTGATGAATGCCGCCATTTTGTTCACTTACAGTGATTTCAAATTATGACCTTGCTAAAACCCTTTCCAGAATTCACGATTCAAGATTTGATTTGAAAAAAAGGACCATGATGCACCAGTTTTGGTGCACCCCACACCAATACTACAAGAGAACTTCATAATGACTCTCGCTGGTCACATGTTGATTAACCCAGCAAACCCAGTTTTTTAGTATGAAAATTGGTATTATTTTCTGTGTTTTAATTCACTGCAATTCTGTTTTGATTGCAAAATTCAAAAAAGTAAATTGATTAGAAAACAAAGTTGATTGAAAGCTGTATTCAACCTTCACTGATGATCTCAAAACTTTAATTAACCTTGAATAACCTCCAAAACCTGATCTGGGTTTGAACCTTGATAGTGCAACCCCCATCCATCAGCACTTTGTAAAGGTCTTTGTACTGTTATAGGTAAGAGAGCAGTCTTTATAATAGAAAGGAAACCAAAATCTAGATGTTCCTATCTAGGCTAGTAGACTGTTCGTAGATTATAGTCTCTAACCAATGTCTACCATCCCCAAACATATATCGCAGTCTCTACAAATAAATTATTTAATGAATTAGTATTTTGACATAAACAGAAGTACCTTGTACATGGTGGTACAGTAATGTTTCATCCTAATTTTCTTGGTAAAGTATAAAATAAAGGAGCCAGAGTACACAAAGAGCTACCACATGATTCTGGAGCAATATGATTATAACGCTGGCAAACGTGTATATTATCAAGCCAATATAACTATAGCTGAAGACAAAGGGAGGCTGCCAGCTGAATGAAGTCTTTGGAAAGAAACGAAACAGCACAATTACATTACCTATGTTATTATGTGAATGTAGAACATTAACAAAGATTTTCTCTTACTGCTCGCGTACATAATGCCGAGCACTTGGTGACACTTAAATCATGATGTGAGTTACAGACTACAGAAAAGTATAGAGAATTTCAGAGTGGCTCTCCTATCACTGATTATCATTAAAATACAAATTCACCAAATGTATGCCATATATTGGTACAAAGTACTTGAGAAGTGCTGTATGGGGTACAGTGGTATAATGCTGGAATTCTTTCTCATGTACAGAGCATACATAGTTAAAACACAAACGTCTCACCACCAGAGTCGAATATTTCCTTTAAGAGTGATGTGAGAAAAAAAAACATACAACCAGAAAAAACAAAGATTTTCCTCAACAAGTGGCAGATGGTTAAGAAGTTTATGAAATGGATTCATAAATTTGCAGAGTAATTTACAACATCATATGACAATACTGTTTTTTTTTTTAGTTTACACCATCAAAATTTACATAAAAGTTGTGACCAAAAGTTTTCAAACTCTTCTCAATGAAGAATAAAGGTTTCTTCTTTTTAATGCTCTTTTCAAAATTAATGACTCTGGAAATTATTCAAACGTGTCTTCAACTTTTTTCCTTATCTTTTCAGATCATTTATCATCACATGACTCCATTGTTACAGGACAGCACTAAAGGAGTCTACAAGGGAAAACGATGATTAACACTAAGGTTTCTAATGAACTTAAGAGAAATAAACTCCTACTGCAGGTTCACTGGATCACATCCTCTGAAAGGATGTGTTAGAATTACAGGGAGCAGGTCAGGAAACAGGAAAATCTATCAAAGTACAACTTTCTTTTCAAAATCAGCTATTAATTAAGACAAGAAAATTACACTTTCAGTTCATTATTTTCTTTTTCTTTTAATGGTGTCTTTCAGTAAGTATATAAAAAAACATGTTAATCTTGTGTTTTGGATAACCTATGGGGTGCCCCATAGCTGAAATGTCTATATCATAATATGTATCTTTATCATACTAAGTATTCATCTAGGCTGGCTTGTGCTGGCACCACACAGCAAACTCACAAATATTATTGGACATAGAAAAAACTGAAGCATGCTAAATGGTCCTTTTCCTATTGAATTTTCTGTGGTAATGAAAGGCTGTGAGGAGGGATGGGGACCATTAAATAAGGCTGAATAGGGCCAGCCATAAAGAGAAATCTGATGTTCACTAGCCATACCAAGTCCCGAACTAGCACTTTACTTCCAACAGTGGGGAGGCAATCTATACAGTTCCCCGGTTTAATCATAAGTCATAAAAGGGCAATAAATTGAGGCAGACAAAGTTTGAACCCGCAGGAGGAGTGGAATACACCTGACAGATAGTTCATCATGTACCAAATTACATACATGTACTGCTAAAAAAAGATGTTCTAAACCCAGGTCCTTGATCAGATTTAAAATCTAACATTAAACTTCTATCTAGACATTTACAAGGAAACAATTCTCCCATAACTTTCATTTTTTTTACATAAAGCCGGTACTTTCTCAAAATGAATAACCAAACCTTTCCCTTTAAACAATTAAAAACAAAACCAATTCCTACACATTCAAACCCAAAATATTTTATCAATAACAAAAGAATTTTGTTTTCAAAAATGATATCTGTAAATATTTAACTCTGAGTATATCACAAGAACACAAATTCACTATTTAACCAAGACTTAAATAATAACAATCACTTGTGAAACCAAGCAACACAGAATTGCACAGGATTACATTGTCAGATAATAAAGGTGGGGAAATATTTAGCAAAAGGTTATGAAAAATCGTCCTACAGTTTCAACACAGAAATCTGATCATGTAACCTTTAAGAACTGCATACATACTATTACAAAGTCATCCCCCAAAAATATTTCAAACAGGTTTTACAACCTGAAATTACAGCATCCCACATCAAACTGATACCACAAAAATACTTTGATTGGCATCATTAGAATCCCCAGCAATACCGCAGCAATTCAATGGACATTCAAGTTGA